CCTTCCCGGGGACGCCATATATAAGATAGGAACGCTCAATGGCAGTCTGTCAAGCAGACGGGTCGATCACAAGAAGACAAAACCACCATACTTACAGAGTACAGGAGAGTAGTAGACAGAGTGTAATGCTATAGAGATACGACTAGTAAGGCATTCGAGTCTTCATGGATATGCGATACACCGATACCGCAACCTCAGCCTCAGTAGACTCCGTAGAGAGAATAATTCATAAGGGGGAACATGTATGTTGTTATTGATACTATCGAACGAACGCTACTTATTCTTCCGAAACGATATGGCTGCCTTGTTACTAAGGCCCCAATCACCTGACTATGGGATACCGGTGTTGAGAGCGGAATTCCCCATTACAATAGATAATAACTAATAGATAGTGCTCACTAAGCATAAAATACCTAAAATCTGACAATACTAGTACTAAGCACGGGTTAGCCATGGCGATCGTAACAAATTGGCCATGGGGATTGCACCAATTTGGCCATGGGGATTGTAACGAATTGGCCATGGCGATCGTAACAAATTGGCGATAGGGATTGCAACAAATTGGCCATGGCGATCGTAACAAATTGGCGATAGGGATTGCAACAAATTGGCCATGGCGATCGTAACAAATTGGCCATAGGGATTGCACTAATTTGGCCATGGCGATCGTAACAAACTGGCCATCGCGACCGTAAGCTTATCTTTCAGCTGAATCCTAAGGTACCTACTGCCTATAGTAATACAATGATGATACTACGCTAAGAAATACATTAAAATTTTTATATTTATGCTAAGTTATGCTTAGGATACCTTCCTAAATAGGCAGGTCACAGGCCTGCGGGGCTTTTTTAGCGGCCCGCGGCCCGGCCTGCGGGCTGTAGGCCCATGGGCTCGGGCCTAAAACTTAGGCCCGCGGGCCGCTAGTCACGGGCTACGGGCTTCCTTAGCGGCCCGGCCCGGGCTTTGGCAAGGTCAAGTCTCGTTATTCTTATAGTTAGAATTAAGATATTTAATTTCTATAAGGATCCTTATTTTTTTATCTTTATAGACTTTAGGATTACCTTAGAAAATATATCTAAGCTAAAAGAGTTAGTTTCCTTACTTCTAAAGACTAAAGGATCTTTTAAATTTATTAACTTTAAAACTCTCTACTTTCTTATACTTTTTAGTTTTAGTTCCCTTATAATTTATAGATAGCTTATCTAGGAAGGCTCTGGTATTTATATTTCTAGAAACCTAAGTAGAAAGCTCTTTAATATAGGTCTGAATTACTAGAAACTCTTTAAGATACTTTAGTTTATATTTTTTTTCTTCTAGACTGTCTATATTAATATTTCTAGGCTTAGTAATACTTTTAGTTATAGGTTTATCTATAATTCTTCTGATCTATATCCTATAAAAAAAAAAGAAGATATATTAGTATTATATACAGTAGCTCTATAGATTAATATCTGATCTAGCTTAGATTCTATAGGGTTTTTATACTAATCTAGGGCTAATTTAATCTTAGGTTAAATAGTAGGAGAGGAGGGTATAGTAACTTTAGATTATATACTACTATAAGAGAATATAGGGTTTTAACGTATATAGAAGATACTATCTTTAATCCTTAGATAGTTAAGAGAGAAGAATCAGAATTATAATAGTTACTAAGTTATTAGGCTAGAGACCTATAACTAAGTAAGGATATCAGACAGTAGAGATTAGATTAGGCAGTTAATACAGAGACTGATTCTTAAGAAGATTAAGAATCCAGAATGTTTGTAGGATCTTAAATATATTAGGGTTCGGGTAGATATTGATATATAGGTGACTTAAAGGGGATTTGTCTATGAATCAGCCTCGAGAGTCTAGGGTATTGTATACTTTGAATCCTGTGACAATATACTAGTCCTAAAATTTAGATATATAATAATTAATACTATATATATATAAAATCTTAGTGTCTAAATTAGGCATCGCCAGAACCCACTATAACCCGGACCCAACCCAACCCAACCTAACCCAAAATAGGTTTTGGGTCGAATACCATAACCCATTGATGGGTTTTGGGTTATCACCCATAACCCAAAACCTAATTAGGAACCCAGTGGGTTCCCATTTTAGTGTAAACAAGGCAAATATACCAAGCTTTTAAATACAGGATGTATTAGTGCTGTTTTTAGGCCTTATATATAGGTATTTTAAGTTTTTTATTTAATATTATTATTATTCAATATCTAATATATATATAATATAAATTAAAAGGCTAAGAAGTAGTATATTTAAAAATAAAATAAATTACAGAGCTCTATAGTAAAGATAGTAGTATACCCTACTAGGTAATATATATATCTTTACAAAAAGTCTTATTTTTCTAATAACTCTTTTATTACTGTATATTTTAGTCCTAAACTTTAAATATACAATGACTCATACTATATATATATCTATATATAATCTTAGTATCTAAATCCTTCTAGAAAAAAAAGATATAAATCAAGTATTGAAATACACTATATAAAATTTATAAATAAATTATGCTAAAATAGGTTGAAATAGGAACCCACTGGGTTATTGGGTTTAACCCATTAGGTTTTGGGTCAGCATCTCTAACCCAAAATAGGTTATGGCGATACCTAGTCTAAATCCTTCTAGAAAAAAAGATATAAATTAAGTATTAAAATACACTATATAAAATTTATAAATAGATTATGCTAAAATGGGTTGAAATAAAAACCCACTGGGTTATTGGGTTTAACCCATTAGGTTTTGGGTCAGCATCTCTAACCCAAAATAGGTTATGGCGATACCTAGTCTAAATCCTTCTAGAAAAAAAGATATAAATTAAGTATTAAAATACACTATATAAAATTTATAAATAGATTATGCTAAAATGGGTTGAAATAAAAACCCACTGGGTTATTGGGTTTAACCTATTAGGTTTTGGGTCAGCATCTCCAATCTAAAATAGGTTATGGCGATGCCTATACAGGATTAGGCATCGCCAGAACCCACTATAACCCGGACCCAACCCAACCCAACCCAACCCACCTATAACCCATTTAGGAACCCAGTGGGTACCTATTTTAGTCTTAAAATTTAAATATATAATAATTGATACTATATATATATATGTAGGATCCTAGTATCTAGATTCTTCTAGAAAAAAAGAGATAAATTAAGCATTGAAATATACTACATAAAAATTATGAATAAATTATGTAAAAACAGGTTAAAATAGGTACCTATTGGGGTATTAGGTTGGGTTGAGTTTTGGGTCGGCATCTCCAACCCAAAATGGGTTATGGCGATGCCTATACAGGATAATACAAATTTATATATAGCAAACAAGAAGATTATCAGAAAGTATAATCAGTCAACTAGACAGATACCCTATAAAGAGGATCTAACTGTTAAAGAGGGACTATAGCTAGTTAAACAGCTAAACCAGCCGTCAAGGGCTGTAGCGACAACTGTTCAATTAGGGCTAGGCCTGCATACTGTTTATAATAATCTTAAAGAAGACTTATCTATATAAGCTTCTTAGACATCGCCATAACCCATTTTGGGTTGGAGATACTGACCCAAAACCCAATGGGTTAAACCCAATAACCCATAATTTTTATATAGTGTATTTCAATACTTAATTTATATCTTTCTTTCTAGAAGGATTTAGATACTAAGATTTTATATATATTGTAAGATGGGAAAGCTCGCTGGCAGTCTGTCAAGCAGACGGGTCGATCACAAGAAGACAAAACCACCACACTCGCAGAGTGCAGGAGAGTAGTAGACAGAGCGTGACGCTATAGAGATGCGACTAGTAAGACATTCGAGTCTTCATGGACATGCGATACACCGATACCGCAACCTCAGCCTCAGCCTCACCAGACTGCGCAGAAAGAATAATTCATAAGGGGAAACATGCATGTTGTTATTGATACTATCGAACGAACGCTACTTATTCTTCCGAAACGATATGGCTGCCTTGTTACTAAGGCCCCAATCACCTGACTATGGGATACCGGTGTTGAGAGCGGAATTCCCCATTACAATATATATATATTCTAAATATAGAATAATAATAATATTAAATAAATTTTTTAAAATGCCTATATAAATGCCTATATAAAGGCCTAAAAACAGTACTAATATATACTATATCTAAAAGCTTAATATATATACCTTATTTATACTGAAATAGTTACCCACTAGGTACTTAAATGGGTTAGGTTAGGTTGAGTTAGGTTAGGTTGAGTTAGGTCTGGGTTATAGTGGGTTCTGGTGATGTCTAGTTATAGTCTTATTAACTATACTCTAGATAAATATAAATATAATAATAATAATAATAATAATAATAATAACAACTTTATATATCTAGTTAAATAATAGCTAAAGTTCCCTCTTTACCTTTTCAATTAAGCGCTTGCAGGTATAATTAAATTAGCTATCATAAGTACTAGTCAATACTGATGTTTTCCCCTCCGACAAATGATCCTATAAATTGAAATCGCCATGGAATAAAACACTACATAAATGATACTCAATCGAAATATTCTCCTGAAACGGCATTTCATGATTCCTTCTCATGACATTTCAAACTTTTCTACATGGGAGACAAATGTAGACATTGTGAAACTAGTTCGAAAACATGATAACACGCGCCCAATTTCTCACCAATGTCAAAAGCCATTATGATCATTAGGCTAGCGATAGCCTGGTCTCAACTTCCAATTCGCAGGGCTCGGCATTCAACCCGATTTTAAACCAATTTGCCGTTTATCAATTTCCCACGGGGACCAAAGCCGAGATTTTGTGGGGTTTCCGAGGCCTCTTGGACAGTTGGGGTTAGGGAATCGGCGGATGGCCGAAGAAGTTGAACCAGCCCCATAGCCACCGGAGGATGGCCACCGTACTTATGCTACAAGAATGTGAGTGACACTTTATAAAAGCACCTATAAGGAACTTTATATCTTCAGGAACCCCAAAGACTAGTTTGTATAATAATAACTTCGAATATGGCCGCTGCTAAAACTTTTGATTTCACTGGTGAGGTCGCCATCGTCACCGGTGCGGGATCTCGTATGCCTGGTAAGTTCGGTTCACATTATTGCTTAATTTTGCAAGTTAATATTCACAGACTCTAGGTGAGATTGGAAATGGCCGCGCAACTGCTATCTTACTCGCCAGACAAGGTGCCAAGGTGGCACTAGTTGTTTATAATGCTGAATGGGCTCGGGAAACTAAGCGCATGATTGATATTGAGGGCGGCGTGTCAGAAGTCGTACAGACGGATGTAACTGATGAGGAAAGCTGCAAGAATGCCGTGAGTACGACCGTTGAGCTATTCGGAGCTGTGAATATTCTTATCAACATTGGTGATCCATTCGCGCCTCGTAACACTTACGAAATCCAACGAGAATTACTAGTCGGGGTTGGTGATACCATGGGAGATGCTACCAGGCTTGATCTTGCAGCTTGGAACGCGACTTCAAGATCAATGTCACAAGTATGCTGCTGATGAGTCGTCATGTTATTCCTGATATGAGAATGAATGGACGAGGTGCCATAGTTAATATGTCCTCAGTCAGTAGTCGTAAGTCCCCGTTGCCTCTCTACTTTTTAAATAACGTTAATATGAAATACAGTTCTCGGTGGGAATCCCAGTCTCCTGTACCCTACAACAAAGGGTGCTATTATTTAAATGACCCGTGCCATGGCTGCCCAGCACGGCCCAGAAAATATTCAGGTTAACTGTGTTTGCCCCGGAATGGTATTCACCCCAATGGTACGAGGCAGAGGTGTGACGGATAGAACGCCAGGATCGTATCAACCAAAACCTCTTGAAGCAGGAAGGTACAGGATGGGATGCTGGTTATGGTATGAAAGTTCCCCATCAGGTTGTTCACAAAGTACATCTAATAAATGAACAGCTATTCTCTTTCTTTGTAGCAAGGAGGCGAAGTGAATCACTGGATTTAATCATGCCTGTTGATGGCGGCGTAGGTTTTCCCCTTCAAAAAATATCTAATGAGACTCAATCTAATCTCTCTTCAATAGACCACCGCAGGGAAGGCAGACCGACCAGCCTCGACGGCTGATACTCTCGCCGAGCAGAACACGAAGATTCCCAACAATGCTCAAGCAATAGTTGTTTTATCTGCACAGGGCTTTGAGTAAACCAATTTAGACAAATTCAATTTCCCCAATATCATATCTAATAAAAAGCGGATTAAATTGGTTGCTGCAATGTAATAAATTGACTGGTATACTCTATAACATGTACAGGATAGGATGTAGCGAAACTGCGTTTTTCCAAAGAGTTAATAAGTTATGAATAGCTGCAAACTATACTAAGGAATCCCCAAAGGCCATTCGGTTATTAACCAGCCATGATCGCCCTGGTGACTGCAAAAAGGAAGGCAACCATTCCGGAAGTAATGTGTAGACCCTGTCATACCCACTAGCAGAATGGGAATATGAGGATGATGCCTCCAACCCCCCTGGCTGGGAAGATTGTCTTTCATCACGAAGCCCCATTATAGTTGAACCAGAAGCAACAGAGACACTCGTAAAAAGAGAGTCTAAAGCGATGTTCAGACTCTCTAAAATTTCCACCCCTTTCTTGGCCAGACTGTATAGTGAAGCCTGGCGACAGAGCAAGTTGAATCCTTCGAGAAATATTGAATAACTGGTTTGCAAATCTGGGTATATCATACTTCGAATACCGCTGGTAAGAAACCTTCTTTCGTCGAACTGGATTGAAAGCAAAGAAACTCCCAGGGATGCCAGGGCATCGACAAGGTATATTGGAAGCAAAAATAGCCGCTCAGCTGGCGGGCCACCACCCTTATTGTCGATAAGAATGTAAATTTTCGTGATCAATGAAATCATATGTGATGTCGTTTGTATCAAAGATCTTCGATGAGAGAGCGCCAGGGGATCTGTTGTGCATTGTGATCCGAGCATTTCATGTGGTCGAAGACTGTTACATGGATCTGCAAACGCTCGGTAAAGTGAAGATTTGGTACTGTTGATAAGCAATTGAAGGCGCATCCTCTTAATAACAAGGACGGGGTCTATGCTGTCCCAGCTTGTATCAGGGGCTTCCATCCAGAATGGCGGGGGCAATTGATCAATGATAACTTCATCAAAGCGTTGCGCGAATTCCGAAACTGTTGCTGGAATGTATTGATCGCTGGTCCACGACGGTGGGCTCAAAAAAGCTGTGATATAACGCGCTATCTTGATGTGAAATATATGATCCGTGAAAGGCGTAAGCACGTATGGGCTAGTAGTTAGCGGTTGGAGGATGTCGTGCGGCGGCTCGATATCAAAATAGCCCTCAGGTATTAATGGCCAGTGACCAAAAAACGTGCACATAAAGCTAGAGTTCCAGTCAGCTCCCTGTATCTTTAAGTAGTCGACAAGACGAGAAGATCTTACCGATCCCAGAAATACAAGCTCCAAAAAGTACGCCTGCGTAGTTCCATCTCAGTTTCATCAAGAGCGATGCCAGGGTCTTTGAGATGCAGGCCCATCTCATGCGCATCCTTGACAGCAGCGCTCAAGCTTGACCAACTCTCCCGAATTTTTCCATAGTTCTTGGAGTATCCTGTGTGGAAAAAGCGATGCTGCACTGTTTCTAGAGAGGGCTTTCTATCTGGTGATTGTGATTTGTCCAAGTCATTGGCTAGCGTATAGAGCCATTGTTCTACGGCCTCTGGGTGTGTCTTCAAAATACCCTCGGTGGGATATTTCGGTGACGGAAGGGTTTGAAGGCTCAGTAGACATGATCGGATGATGAGAATGCCAAAGTCAATGTCCTCGTCGGCAAGAGATACACCTGGGTCGCCGTTTGCCTTGGTTTCTTGCGCAGCCCACCAAACAGAATACTTGGCTTCGAATGATGATCCGTGGATCACTTCATAGATGCGATTAATTTCCTCTAGGAATATCCGGATGAGGAGATCTGTCAAACATTTTTGCGGCCATAGACCCCACTGCCTGGATCGGACTGGATCTATCCTTGAAAAAATATCAAGAGAAGGATCCTGAAGCGTGTGTGATTCTCGAGTCAGGTATTCCAGAGACCCTTTCTCTGTCTCAGAATCAGACTCGTGGGGCGAGAGTGTATTAGATGAACTTCTTTCGGGATTATCGACAGGCAGAGGAGGGCTTGCGAGTCGATTAGGCTGATGACGATTTCGGGCCCGCCTCCCGTGAGGGCCGCTGGTAGTATACACACAGAGGTGCTTGACTCTCCGACTTATGCAATGATTGCATGGTTTCTGGCGGTCACACTGATATCTCGTTAGTGAGGCCAGTTGGAGTAATAGCAATCTGTGTACCTTTTGCTTCCTGCGATTACACTCCAAGCAGGATTTGATCGGTTTACGCCGAGTTTTTTTCTCGGTCTGCATATTCTACTGTCGTCGCATGGGGAGGGGAGGATTCTTCACTTTTGTTTTTAGCTTTCGCGGGGTAGCTTGCTTTAAGGAGTCGATGTACATAAGCAGCCAAGGCTGAATCAAGGCTAATAAGCGCCCCTATTATCTTTCAGATCCACCATGAATCTTTAGCTTATCAATGTGTATCATGGACACCTGAGTCGTCGTAGCCAAGTTAGCATTTCGAAACCTCGAGACTATTTATTTTCTTGCTTGCTTTCTGGTCTTCGGTGGCAAATATATGTGTCGGCATGCCGGTCGATGTCATTATCAAGTCACTGACGAGGTTCACGTTGCCAAGAAAGCTCAGTGGAGAACAAGCTAAATCCGTCTACCAAGACGTTGGAAAGTGATTTGATTGGTGCTGAAATTCGACCCATTAGCAGTATTGGGTCACGATTCACATGATTTATGGCGTGGTGGAGAATTTTGTTGGAGTCCAGCAACTTTTAATTTGGGGGCCAAAAAAGCAGGAATTTTTTGGGGGCATCTAAAACACAGATGCCGAGACGGCGGCCTTTGTTCATCTCGATTTCTAAAGATCAATTGATTAATAATGAGTGCTCAGATTAGTCCAATGCTTCGATCTTCGCCGACTAATTGGTATGTCTCGGGACATGCATATTTTGTTTCTGCAGGTAGTTCTTGGTGATGTTTTACTTGACCCCCGAAACAAAAGTGGGACTCGGGGACCTCCCGGTGTGAAGAAGGGACCAGGTACTGACATTTCTAAGGTTATGGTTTCAAGGGTGTTTGAATCCAAAGTCTATCTAGAATATTAGATCTCTCCATAGTAATTTTGTTCGTAGTTGGGCCAATCTCCTAACTAGTCACCTGTCCTACAACTCCTTCCTCTCACTTAGATAATTTACAATAACATTTCCATTTCCTTCTCCTCGCGCACCCTACGTATACAGTGATGGACTGTGGATATGTCGGTGCATGACAAGGTGGTGGATGGAAGGGACCCTAGAGCGAAAGCTATTTAGACACACAAAGGAACGGCATCTTGGATGTTCGAGGCATACAGACCCCTACACAAAGTCAATCAGAGTAAACTAAATGATAATATAAATGCATCTTTGAATATCGGGCGCAAGGCGATGTCGAGAAAAAAGATCGTGAAGCGTTTCAGTCGCTCAGCAAAAAGGTGGTTAAGGATTCCAAGGTTGCGGCAAGTACTTGTTCAACTGATTGTAAATGTGTGATAACTCTATATCTTCTATTTCTCTAACTAGCCCTTCATCGCCATCAAACTGAGAAGCATGCCAGCGCCAGGCGTGCTTGTGGCCCCTCGCTGTAAGTCACAGCCCTGCTAGTACTTCCAATTCATTCGGTTGTCTCGACCCACACAGCTGACATTGGCCTCTTCTCGTTACTATATTCATTCAAGTAGTAGTAGTAGTAGGTTCAAAAAAAGACAGCCACGTTATCAAACCGAGCCGGTCAAATCACGCATTCTCAACACACTCATCCTTCGCCCCAACCTTCTCAGTATCATCAATATGAGCCAAAAGCTCAGTCTGGAAGGGGATTTCCCTAGCAATTCTCACAGGGTCAAAAACAGAATTAGACTGAACGAAAATATCATCAATCTCCTCTAGCGTGCGGCCCTTAGTCTCCGGACAGAAAAGATAGAAGAAGATAAACGCGAAAGCACTAATACAAGCGTATATAATATAATACCGCCATTGAATACTAGCAAATCCAATCGGCGTCACTTCCGCGAGAAGGAAATTGAAGAGCCAATTTGCCGCGGCGGACATAGCGGTGACTTTGGCGCGAGTGCGTAAGGGTGCGATTTCAGCGGCGTACATGAATGGTACCAAAAATAGACCGATCGGGAAGCAGAATAGTGCCATGAAATAGAATAGGATTGAAGCGCCTGCGGCGGATTCGTTGGAAAGATCGCTTGAAAGACCTGCTAGGCATGTCTGGGCAATTGTCATGCCGGCGGCGGCTGTGAGGAGTAATGGTCGACGTCCGACTCGGTCGATTAATAGCACTGCTATACCGGCGGCTATGAATTGCCAGATTTGTAGACAGCCTGTTATGATGCGGGAGATTGTACCTGAGTATCCCAAATCGGACTATTGAGGAGTAATAATTAGAATTCTATGAGCATATCTGATGGGTTGTTTCGCCGGATTAGATCATCTCATCTCGAATGTTTTGCTTACCTCGAAGATAGTATCAGAATAGAACGTAATGATATTAACACCCGTCATCTGGGCGAGAATATTGACTCCAACAGCAATAGCCGTTCGGTGCAAATGACGATTATTCGTCAAAGCAAAAGGCGAAGTCGAAACCGTCGATTCGTCCGTTGCATCCAGGAAAAGAGATTGCTTGATGATCTCCAGCTCTTGCGCAACGTGTTCCGATTCCACTGGCACATCTTCCATCCGTGAGAGAACCTTGGCCGCTTCTTCCATACGGCCAACGCGAGCAAGCCATCGAGGAGACTCGGGCAAAAATAGGATACACGAGACAACCACGAGGGCAAAAATGCCCTGGAAGGCGATGGGGAAGCGCCAGCTCACTGAGTTATCGCTGACGTAGTATAATCTATCCCAGATCAGAAGAAGTCAGCAAGTCTATCTAACCTCGCGCGGTCACGATGGACGGTGGTGGTGGTGGTGGTGGTGGTGATGATGCTTACCCAAATTCTAACCAAGTTGCAAGGACGATACCACCGATAGCAAACCACCCTTCTAAAAGAACCATGCGTCCTCGAGCCTCTGCCCCAGAAGACTCAGAAACATACATAGGGATTGTCGCGGTGAATCCACCGACACCCAAGCCTATCGTTCGTTCCCTGTTAGCAGTGCCCACGCATGATGATATCACATACTGTGATAGACGGGAAAAGAAAACAGATAAATCACTCACCAGTAATAACCCGTCCAGAAATCAACTGTCCCAACGCAAAGGGGCTTGCTTGAATAACGATTCCAACCAAGGCAACGCATCCCGCAAGAAAGATCGTTTTGCGACGACCGAGTTTGTCGCCCAAAAACACGCAGCCCAGGGCACCCAAAGCGCAGCCGACTTCATAGATCGCGACCGTTGTTCCTGGAATGGTATGTCGGATTAGTCCAGTGCTTCACTTGAGCGTTTAAAATACCTTGACTCGCTCACTCGCTCGAGCGAGGGCCGTGAGCACCTAAAGGTATATATTTGATGTGGGACTAACCTTGAATAGTAGAGTTGTGCGATTTCTGGCTACCATGAGTATTGACTGTATCGATTTGAGGGAAAATAGCAATAAAAGATCCCAATGTCAGTAAGCCATTAGCGACAGCCTGGTCATAACCTTGTAGCACGAAACCGACCGCGCCAACAAGACCAATGACACGGCCGAGGGATTTCCCTCTAAGTGTAGTGATACCCATCGGGGGTGCGATTCTCTTTACTATTGGCAGAATAGAGAAATTGCCAGATGAGATCAAGTTGCTTGACTTTTGAGAAGATGAGAGAGTGATAGAATAGCACGTCACACCGCAACCGGAAGAAACAGAAACAGAAACGCAAGACAATGCGGGGAGGGAATCGGGGGGAAGGGGGACAACGCTCTACCCCATCAATTTCAATTTCCACAAACCCCAGCTCTCTTTTACTTTGCTTACGCCGTAGAATTCCGTACTTCGTAGCAAACTCCCCATCTCTCTCCCCAGAATGGAGCCCCGGACTGGAGATTTTGTGGACCTCGCGGACGTTCACCGAGCCGAAGACAAGCATTTGCCCAGCCGGGCGGCGCTCAGATCGCCTATGCTCCCGAGTTGGCTGATTTCCCCGGGCTTTCCATTCGTCGCTGTCTCCGTGGCGGACTCGACAGGGTGGGTCGAGAGGGGTTGGGGGGCGAAGGAACTTCGCCGAGTGATGCCGTGAAGTCGTGGGTGAATTCGGTTATCGGGTTATATGCGAGTTGGGAGCATACTGGGCTCAGCAGATGGCCCTACGAGTATACTAGGCAGGCAAGTTGGAAATACTCGGTCTTTGTATATCCAGGCTCACCCGTGGACTTCGACTCCTGTCATGATTGGGGAGAGATGTATGTATGTTTTTACTAAGGTCTATGAGTGACCACCGTAGCGCCGCATCGGATCGGAGACCGGTATTCGGACGAATTATACTGCAGACCTTGTGAAAGCTAGGAAGCGAGTGAGACGCTAATTTCGCACGTTAATTGGTTCAATTTGATATGTGATATCTATTACTCTCTGTTATCAATGATATGAATTTACCTTAGCAAAAGTGAAATGCATAGATCCTACCTTTACCCAAATCCAAGCGTAATATCGTACATTATTACGAGGAACAAGCGCTAGTACAGTAAATAAGCATTGCCTGTCTGTTGACTTTTTATGAAATCACTTCACCGAACAAGTCAATATCCGAGTCCCAATGATCCCGAATTGATACAGCATCTATGTGTGGTCTATTAAGAATACTCCATGCGAATCAACCTTCTGTCTTCATTCCTTGCCTAGCTGTGCCTCTAAGAATCGCTAGCTGAGTGTATGTACAATATCTATTATGCCTCTCTTCTTCTCAGGATCCCTTCGAGTTCTCAAAGTACCCATGGAAATGAACAACTGGCCATTGCCTTCTACTAATATATTTGAATAACCAATCCGATCCTAGGACTAGACAATTGAGACAGGATAACGGCGGACTAGACTACAGCCAAGGGAAAACTGTGACTACGGCAAAACTATAAAGAAATAACTTGTATGAAGATCAAATGGCCTTGTTACTATTTAACCTTCCCAGGGTCTATCTTTCTTAAGACCTTTTTAAATGGTGTTCTCCAAATAAATAGATAAAATGGTATGTTATGAGTGACCAGTATATTAAGTTCGGCAGAAAGATAATGTGTCTAATACAGGAAATAGGTGAGCGCTCAGTGGCGGTGGCGGAGGGTCTCGTTAGAGAATAAGACTCAGAAGGTACGTAAAATGGAGCCCTGGGGTTATCAGATACTCTTAACAACTACCAGTAGTTGAAATAATAACTTGTCACAAGCCCGGGGATAACAATCACCTTGCCGGGCGAAGGTTATCTATAAAATACCCATAAGTTACTGGAGGTCATTCCAAGGAATCCAGACTTCTTTCTCAACACTATAGTTTAAACGTAGATAATTCAGTTGTTCCAAGATTTATTGATAAATATTTTGATTGTTTGTGCCAAAGCGATGTTCAATTCGCCCCTCAGACCCAGAGAATATAAGTAACTCTAACGTATGTAATAAAAATCGGTAATAGAAAAAAAAAGGTAGATAGGCGAGAAGGCGAAAGGGTCAAGGTCCTGAGCAACAAGAACAAGAACGGTATGTCGGCAAGGTTCATGCGTTCCTGTTCACACGCGTTTGGCGGAAAAAAAAGAGAAAAAACCTCCCATAGAGACGGAAGTAGCCAAATCCGGGATCCCCGCCACGAGATTCAACCAAATGCAGACGCTCCAAACAGGTCGTAAGAAAGAAAAAGAAACAGAAATAAGATGTACAAAAATGCTAATGCAGTGCAGATCGTGTCCAGGCCGTATCAAAGACAACAAATACAAAAGAAATCACATCATATCCGAAGATCCGATGGGGTAGATTTCTAATCATCACGTCGACCAAGCTCGTAAGAAGTCTCAGTAGAGCCGCTGCGGGATTCTTCATCCTCCTTGAAGCTGACGCGTCGGATAAAGGTAGGCATCAATCGTCTCGCCCGGCGCGAGGGGGACGCAGACGAAAGGCGTGACGGGCTGATTATGGAGGGAACTTTCGTATAGCGGTAGCGGTATTTTGATCCGAGGAGCATGACTCGGCCGTATGTCCAGAAGAGGCAGAAGCCTACGACGGCTGCGATTAGGAAGCCGAGGAAGGTTAGGAACATCCAGTGTTGGCCCATCTAAAGCTCAAATTAGCATTTGATTCTCCGCAAAGGATCAAGAGGGGGAGAGATAAAGCTTTGACTTACCCAGAAAATGAGATGCGCATCCTTGCCGTGCCAGCTATTACCAGTGTGATGGGTGAAGAAACTCCACGAGTGCTTATTGTACTCATCCAGCATCAGGATTCGAACACGTCCTGATTCGGAAGGCCCATCACGCATGTACTCCTTCCAGAGCACGGACAAGAACAAGGGCCCAGTCGAATACATGACGGTAATGTACGGGAGCAGCCAGCTGCGGTCATAGGTTTGCAATAACTCGATCGTGCGGAGGAAAAATGGGTGTTGGGGAACTGAGCCCATCGCATCGTTCGAGATACCTGTAGGAACGGTGCGTCGTACCCACGCGGGGTAAGCGAGTAAGGGGTCCAGTCGGCGGTTGCAGCCCTGAGAGAAAAGGAAGGCTGGTCAGTAATTGATTATATTTGGAGGGATGTGGGGGGTGACAAACATCATCCAAATCGATATAAGTGCCACCGAAGTGAGCTAGAACGAAATAACGGATTGAATCCGCGCGCTGGATCGGATACTTGTAGCCATCGAAGGTATCCAAGAACCAAGGGTATTCGGCAGCGATAAAGTCTCGGGATTTTTCATTCGTCCAGAGCTAGATTGATCATTAGTTCAAGGCCAATTGATTGGATGCAGAGGAAGCGATAAGCCGTATCGAATTGAGGGTTTGTTCACATACAATATATTCGTAGTCCGGGTGCAAGTCAATGCAGCTCTGCTGCGCCTCAACCCAAACCTCAGGGATAGTCTCATTTTTGTACGTTTGGTGAATGATCTTGGGAATGATTTGTGGACGTTGTTCAATCAAGCTTGAATTGGGCGAAGGGAGTTCGGCGCGGTGAATCGCGTCAGCCGAGGCATCCTCCACTAGCAGCGAAAGAAGAGTTGAGACACTGCGGATCAAGAATGATAAGACGAGTAGGTTCACCAAGACGAAGATGAGAAGTCCGCGTCGCATGGTGAAGACGTTGGCGCCGGCCTAGCAAGAGCCGAGACAATGGGATCAACAGTGAATAGGCGAAGAGCGCAAGGAATTCGAGTCGAGTGGAGTCGTCCGGGGAATCGGGAGTGTCGAGTGAGAATCTCACGGACCGGGCCCAAGGCCGCGCGGGATAGAAAAGGGACACGAGATTGTTGGGTGGTCGTCACGAGTAGAAGGATAGGTAGATTGATCGAAGATATTATTATGAGGCGTATAAAATAAATTAGGCGCCGAGAGTAAAGGGGCGTAGGTGAGAGGGAGAGGGTGAGGAGTGTCAGTCGAAGGTGGTACGGTGATAGTGAGAGTGTAAGATGGGTTCGTCAAAAGGGGGAGGGGAACAAGATGGATGAAAGTAGTGAGATATTGAAAAAACGGCTCGGCCAAATAGGGGAGGATAATAAGGAGTGACGGAGTGGGGAAAGGAGAGAAGGGAGAGAAGGGAAAGAAGCGAAGACTAAGGCCAAAGGAGAAGAGTGTTGAGGGATCTCTTGCGTTGCGCGGCGAAGTCTGAGCAAAGTGGGTCAGCAAGGTTTGGTGAGACTCAAAGTGGATTAGTGTTTTTTCTCCGTACAGAAAGACCAGAACAGACAAGGGGCAAAAAGTCAGTTCAGTAGGTACTGCACTCACTCTGTATGGGAGGCTGTGGTGGCTGAGCCCGGTTTTTCCTGCTTGCGACCATGTGTTGAACCATGGTGAATGCTGATTGGTGTATTGGTGGATGACTAAGGTGGGGCCATGGCTGGGGCGCTAACGATTACGCACTACCAGTACAATACAGTAACACTGGCATTGGCAGGCACTGCCACTATGCAGAGATATGCAGAGAGAGACTGTACGGTATAGTACTGTACCCAGCACTCAGCACAGTCCAGCCCCGGGTCACCATAGGCACCAGCACCACCCTAGTACTGTAAGTACTGTAGCAGTCACGATAGTCACCCCGTCACCCCGTCACCCCCGTCACCATCCACTATCGTGGGCTTAATGGGCCAACTGGTCAATTCAACTGGACCACACTTGACCCCCAGTCTTTTATTTTTACCCTGGAACAAACGATCCATGCACTCAATCTCCAGGTTTTAGCCTACTTTTTGCCTAGCATGACGTGGGTGGTTGGGGGTCGGGGTTCGGGGATCGGGGCCCTGGTTACCGTTCATCGCTGAGCCACCCAACCCTCCACTCCGTAACGAGTCCCAAATCGGGGCATTCTTTCGTCCCATGTCATACGCTCGCCTCGCGGGGCCAAATGCCGGTTTCTTGTCGTCTGGGCGTAATTCAGCCTGCCCTTAGCCATGGCTATGGTAATGGCTACTTAGAAACTTGGCAACTTGGCCAACGCCATAGACTGACGATCGTAGGCTAGGGTCGGGTCGGAGTTGTATAGAATACCACCACTGGTGCAAGGAGATAGACAGAGCACACATAGTAGTACATATACCATTGTATGGTGAAACCATCGTATGTAATTTGAATATGACAACCATCCTTGCAGCCAATGATCCATAATACACTACGAGTATTCATCAATTGGGTCAGGCAACAGAAATACCACTAATCAGACCGAGTCTAAAATAAGAGAAAGAATACGAGTACGATCAAGAGCATGAACTTGAGCATAATAATAGTAATAGGGTACGGCCGTAGCGATAACGATAAAAAGAATGCAAAATACTCCGTAGTAATAACAATAATAAAAGGGTATCTATCGCTATCAATGTAAAACAATGCATGAGGATCCCATCCTTCTCATACTCGTAAGTCACTCTGCTTCCTGCTCGGTTTAACGTTCCGCTAGAAGGCGACTCAAGCGACCCTTTGACCTCGGGCACCCCACCTAGATCAGGTTCGATTTCGATTTCGATTCCACCTCAGTGAACTGCCAGCAAGCTGCACTTGCACAGGCAGAACCACCCCACCTGGCAATTTTAGAACTCTCTCAAAGTGGAGGGTCACCCCGCTCGAGCTACGTGTACATCATCCATCACATCACTTTGATCTTTCTCCGCGGCCATTTTCCTCTTCGAAATCGGTGTTGGCGCCATCTCAAAAGACCATCCTCAAGATGATCTGATCACGCGCGGGGTACTAACTCTAGTCAATTGGCTTTTTCGCCACGAGTCTGTCATTTAAGGTTCGGAAGTACGCGTCCCGATACAATGGCAATGGCAAAGGCAAAGGCAATGATAAGGATCCCATAGGAAATAGTCGCAAGAGCATATTATCGGACCTCGGGTGCGGCGGCGGCGGCAGCAAACTCTTGATTGACGGTCGCATCAGTGGGGCCGGGGCGTTCTCGCTCTTCTGCATCAAGATTGCCCTCAAACAACCGCCGCCACCATCTCGGCGGATCAAAAGGACGATGACCACCATGAAGAGTGGGATAAACATCATTGAAAAAGTACCAGACATGGCCCACGACAACGCCACAAAGTTCATCCTTGGGCACCATCTTATGCATGACTAGACTAAAGCCCATCAACACCCACGGGAGATATGGAGCTGTGAAGACGAGCAGGCCGAGGAAACTGAGTCGAGTCTCTGGATTCCGTCTCGCCCAGATATAAACGAGACTGGAAGACAGTGCGGTTCCGAGGAATGGTAACGAGAGGAATGGCGATATCAACAGCAGCGAAGAGCAGGCGTAGACGATCAACCAGGTGAATTGAGCCGGGGAGCGACCAGAGGATTCTTCCAGAAGACGTGAGTAGCGTTGTAAGAAGAAGACGTGAAATAAGAGGTCAAGGTTTAGTGGGCCGAAGTAGAGAAATGTGGATAGGAGACGCCAGTACTGCGATTTGGCATAGACGGTGCGGAAGCTGTAGAAGAGCTGGAATGGAGTCACAATGTGGCACTGTACCAGTACAGAGGTAGCCACCGTGGCCACGGTCCACCACCGCGTCACTGGGGGCATCTCATAAAACCATTGTTCTAATGGAAACTGACCCATCTGCCCGTTGTTCTCCCACAAGGCAGCCATGATGTGAGGTTATGAGGGGGAAGGGAGAAAGGGAAGGAGGGGAAGGAGTGCGGAGAATCTATCAAGACTCGTAAGAGGCCACCTTCATGTATATCCAAGGCCAACCTGTCGAGGCCCCAGACACGTGACCCCGTACAACGCGCGGGAGACGCGCGATCTCCCGCGTCTCCCGCGCGAGGCTAGACGAAACGAGTTAAACTACTCTTTCAATTTCCCCCCAGCCTCCTCTTTTTTGCGCATTTCGCATTCCAATTATTCTCCCAACTTATCCCCCCACCATCGTTGAACCGATTTCTCCTCTGATAATACTTTCGACCTACGGAGTATTTCCCATCCCCTCACTCCCTTCAACAAGCCCCCCCGGAACCGAACCTCCTGCAAGGGCGATCTGAAAAAAAGCGCGCATTGAATAGCAACCTACGGAGTACCTGTCATACGTTCAATCGCAACGCCTCGTTTCGGCAGGGCTTTATCGTCTTCAGTTTTATATCTTTTTCATTTTTCATTCCCTCGCGAATCATTTTCGCAACCGAACAATGCCAGTCAAATCCGCATCCAAAGTCGGCAAAGGTCGCCCATCACAAAAGTCAACAACAGCCAACCCAAGCTCACCATCAACGGCGCGCAAAACTACCGGCACACCGAAGAAGAAGCCAGCCGCAAAGCGACCATCAAATGTACAACGTATGTCTGTCCCTGTTCCTGTCCCGCGCAATGCGAACCCAGCCGAGCACTTGTTTTCTTCCCCTCATCCCCATGCCAACCGCTCCCCCAATCCAATCCAATCCACCCACCAACTAACCAACAACCTCACCAACAGCCGGAGACCCGACCCCCACAGGCCGCCGCCGCCGCTACAAGCCCGGCACAGTCGCATTAAAAGAAATCCGCCGCTACCAACGCTCCTACGACCTATTGATCGCAAAACTTCCATTTGCCCGCCTAGTCCGTGAAGTCGCACTGGATCTACTCCCCGCAGAACGGGGCTCGGAAATCCGCTGGCAATCACACGCCATTCAGGCATTGCAGGAAGCTTCCGAGGCGTTTCTGGTGCATTTATTTGAAGATACGAATCTTTGCGCTATTCATGCTAAGCGCGTCACTATTATGCAGAAGGATATTCAACTTGCGAGGAGATTCGGGGGGTTTGGGCAGGTTTGGGGTGAATTTTTTTTCCCACTCTTTTCTTTTGCTGCGCTTTCTCTCTACGGTCTGGTTTGAGCGTTTCTTTTGATTCTGGGTGTTGCATTGTTTGTTTTTGCAGCGGCTTTTCCAAGCCTACGGGCCTGGGCTGGGGCATATTTAGTCGAAAACTGCCGGCGTATTATGGACATGATGGGGTGTGTCAAGTTTCAAAGTTCTTGTGGGTGGTGCCTTGACCTTGAAATATTTTGTTTTTAATCCCACCTTCTGTCGTTTTTGATTTCATTTCCCCCCTTTCTCTCTTGACAATCAATGTTATTGCATTATATGTCTATGGAGTATGCTTACTGGGCTTCTTTCCCGTCCCCGTTCCCGTTCCCGTTCCCCATATACCATACCACCGATACTTGCATGTTTACACCACTGCGGGCGGATTTAATATTTGTTACCATCTAATAAGTAAGCGCCGAGGGGTGTGAGAGGACGGACACCTTAGGCAAAGCACTTGAATGAACTGGAAAGTTTAATCACACTTCTATGCTATACGATCTCACCTCCACTTTCAAGTTTCTTGAATTTCTAGACCTAGCGACACCTGGGTAAAGCCGAGGGATGGTTTTGGTACCGACGGTGTCTTTTACCCTTCGAGACGGCGCACAGCAGTACAAGTACAGTTGAACGGTTATAAATGGTACATATACTAGATATATTCGCTGGTCTATCTCGAGGCCTAGACTAGATAAATGAGACGCCTTTGCACCATATTCACGAGATGGTATCATACACTAACTCCTTCCCAATAGAAAAAAAAAACAAAGGACAAGAGGAAAACGTCCTCGGAAATGGGGAAGAAAAAAGAAACAGTAAGATGTTGACATTCACATCAAGGACATTTGGACGCCACATCAAGAGGCAAGCGAATCTTGATCTAAGTTGGACGTTTCAAGCCAGGCGGAAGACCCATAACCAGTCGTTGGCCTTCCTCACGCACACTACTAGCTTCCTCACCCTTACCCTGCCGTTCGAGAGTATCGGCGAGCATTTCATCCGTGACACTAGCCCAAAGCCGATGATTTGCTCGTTTCGCCATGGCCCGACCAGCCCTTGCGCTCTTTTCAGCCTGTTCGCCCACGACGCCGCGGAAATATTTCCAGCTCATGAATGTCAGCGTCATGCATGTGATCTGACTATTGCTGATAGCAGTCGCGGATTGCAGAGCCTGTTGGAGATATTGTTTTGTTTGTATAGTCGAGTCGGTGTGCACGGTAGAGCATACTAAAAAGTAAGCTGCTTGGATGTACTTGTTCGGACTGTGTTGGCAGAAGGACTCGAGCGTAGTCAAAATAGCAGGGAGGTGGGAATGGGCTGGATGAGCCGGGTCCCGTATGATGAGGACTGTGTTTAGCGCGGAAAGAATACAGATGTCGCGGTAGGGGTCATTGCGAGAGATCTTGCTGGCGGATGGCGATAGTGTTAATAAGGGTGACTGGAAGATAGTCAAGGCGGATGCTAGATCTCCGGTCGCTTGGGAAATGGTGCCGGCGGCGTATTCCATGAGACATTCAATGGATTTGGGAAGGTTGGGCCCGAGTTCTTGGGTCACCTGGCGGAGGGTTTTAAGGGCTTGACTAGCATAATCCCAGTCTGTTCTAGAGCAAGCCAGGAAGACCCGTTGCAGAAGGAAGTTGCAGTACAGAGTCCGGCGCCATTCAACGCGTCTTGCCGCATTGACCATGGCCTCCGGGATTTCCTGTGGCGTCTTGAAGTCCCCTGCAAATGTATGAGTATGAAGTTTATTGGTGATGTAATAGTATGCTTACCTTGGATCATGCGAATGCCTTCATCGAGGAACTTTTCCGCCTTTCGGCCATCGTATGAATTCTTGGCACTCAGCGTAATGGAGCTCAAGAAATATGAAAGCGCATAGAGGTCATGCTGAGGAAGCCAACTGAAACTCAAAAGTAAAGTTCCACCTTGAACCTGCAGAATATCCCCAGTGTCGATTGACGATGGACCGGCAGATTTTCCATTCAGGGGAACGGAGAATGAGCCATCAGGGCGCCAGTTGGGGTCATTGAGTGTTTCGTCCACCAGGGCTTGCATAACCTTGAGCTTTTCAGCCGATTGGTTCACATCGCACTCAAGTAAACTGCAGCAAATATCGACGATCTGGATCAAAGTTGAAAGCTGGGGGATGCTACGAAGTTCGTCATTTAGCTGATGGCTCCGGGCGATCGCTACAGCACGCTGTGCTTGTTCGATTGCATCAGAGCCGGCGCCTTGCTGGAGATGCGCCAACGCTTCGATGACTGCTGCCATTGCCGCGACAGTTCTATCGCCATTGCGATTGGCCATCGCCGCAATCTTGTGGAGATGCTGGAGTGCTTGAACGAAATTCTGATGTGTAGGGGCGGACAACGAGAGCGAGACACGAAGAAAGCGAAATGCATACTCCCAGGCAGCATGTCGGTATCTGTAAGCTAATTAGTATTCTGATTTTCAGAAGCGTGCATGAAAGAAGAAGACATACGCCTCGACATCTTGGATCATTCCATCAACCGCTTTCAGGGAAGCCTTTGGATTGGACTTATGAAGCATTCGTGCCAGAAGATGTTGCATGCTGTACTTCAAATCTAACATGCGATTCTGAGAAGCATTAGTTGATTCCATATGAGAGTACAAGATATTGAGTGGTACTCACTCGTTCGCAGAGATCAATCTTTCGAAGAAATTAGCCGTTGAACTCGATACAAAACGAAGAGGGAGGAACACTCACGCCTTTACTCAATGCAGTCTCTGCTTCAAGGTCATTCTCTGTTTCCTCGAATAATGTCCGGGCATATCGCAGTCTCACCAAGGCTTCCTTGCGAGGCTGTAGTCTCCAGTTCTATCGACAAACTGTGAGCGAATGGCGCATATTTGATGGGATTGATGGTTGCCTACCTTTAGAACAGCCTCTAGACACCCTAGCCCGGTAGAAATTAGCTTATAGTATTCCTCAACGTCATCTCTTCTGGTAGATAGTGCCATGGTGGTTCCATGACTATGTGCGGCATTCAAATATTCGTCTGCCAGTGATAGAAGCAAGACTTGATAATCCACGGGCGGCTTGGAAGACTTTTTTGGCTTCTCTATGGACTGGTGACTGGGTTGCTTCTTCAATTGTTGTTTCTTGGGGGATTGATTTTGCAGGTTTACTTGAATATCCGGTGATGGAGCCGGAATCACAACTTGTGGAACAGTATTGTCCGCGGGTGACGGTGTTGGTTGAGGTCGTACTGGATTGGACTTCGGCGTCGGCGTCGCGGGTGGAAGCTTGACCTCAAGCTTGGCAGGTGGCTGTTCCAGGACCTTGAGCTTTTCAGGCCTGATAAATTGTTGCAATTGCTGCGGCTGCTGAGCCTGGAAAGTCTGCTGGGGTTGAATGTTTGGGATATATTCTTGGGGGGTAATAGCCGGGGCTGATAGGTTTCTGGCTGGACTTGGCGCCGAGACTGTTGCCGGCGCTGGCATTGAAGTCACTTTCTGTGGAGGTGGAAGTGGAGGTACTTCGTCCGCAGCCAGAGGAACTGTGCTTATCTCGTCAAACTGTGGCAGGGAGGGGTATCGCGACCGCGGCGCGGTTGGCAGCGGGGTCTGGACGAAGAGTTCGGCTGGGTTGATGAACTGATGTTGTTGCGGGACCTCCTGTGGAAGAGATAGAGGTGCTTGAGGCACTGGGTTCACAGGTTGCGGAGCAAGGATAGGTGGATCCTGTACAATGGAGACCTGGCCTTGGGAGATTGGACCGGCGGAATACTGCTCTGTTTGAGGGCGCGGAGATTGTTGGTGTATTTGAGGGAGTTGGGGTTGCTGTTTAAATTGGGAACGCGGAGATTGTTGCAGCCGAGGGCGTGGCGATTGATGCTGGGCTTGAGGGTGCGACGGTTGTTGGACTTGGGGCCGTGGTGATTGCTGTTGGATTTGGACACGCGGGGATTGCTGTACCTGAGGACATGGGGACTGCTGTTGCTGCACCTGAAGGCGTGGGGATTGTGAAAGCTGGGGTTGCTGTTGAATTTGGGCATGCGGAGATTGCTGCACCTGAAGGCGTGGGGATTGTGAAAGCTGGGGTTGCTGTTGAATTTGGGCATGCGGAGATTGCTGCACCTGGAGGTGTGGGGATTGTTGTTGGATTTGAGAAAGCTGGGGTTGCTGTTGGATTTGGGCATGCGGAGATTGCTGCACTTGGGCACGCGGGGATTGCTGTACCTGAGGTCGTGGCGTCTGCTGTTGCTGCACCTGAAGGTGTGGTGATTGTTGTTGGATTTGAGAAAGCTGGGGTTGCTGTTGAATTTGGGCATGCGGAGATTGCTGCACCTGGGGGCGCGGGGATTGTTGTTGTTGTATTTGAGGGCGCGAAGGTTGCTGTATCATTTGGAGGCGAGGGGACTGTTGATGTAACTGCGGAAGTTGAGGTTGCTGCTGCATCTGCTGTTGCTGTTGCTGTTGCTGGTGGTGGATGAGGGGAGATTGCTGCAGCTGCGGAAGAGAATGCGGTGCCGGGTGTTGGACAGGATGCTGCGGATGCTGAGGGTATTGTGGATAGGCAGGGTAGGGCATCATTCCTGGGGGTAGATTGGCGGTTTGTTGTAGCCATTGTATGGCGCGGGTGAGGGAGTGCCGGCATTGCTGTAGAGCAACTGCGGCGGCGGGCCTTGTCCCTGTCCTGTTTGATACTGCGGGGGTATATACTGCGGGTATTGACCGGAATGGGGTGGTGGGAAGCTCATCGCCTTGATGTGCGCTCCAGCTGAAGCCGATCCCCCAAAGCGTGCGGGTTGGGCTCGGAAGACTGCGAGACTTCGTCGCGTCGGGTCACGGGCGGAGGATCATTTTGGAGATCAGCTGATAAGCACTTGCGATAGGCGGAGGTCCACCTGGGGCAGCCATTTACTATGGGGCGACATTTGATTTATTCTCGTATATACTCTGGCTGAATTAGAACTGGTTTTTATTGATGGCTTAATCCATGGATTATCATGAAGTTAGCATTGTATTATTAAAGCTAGTCATGGACAAAATAGTTAGGTTAAACACGATATAAGGGTATATATAAAGACAATTAACATCTAGCCCGCATCGCTTGCCTCCCCCCTCATTTACAACATTTGAATGGAAGAATATAAGGAGTTCATGGGAGAATCCCTCATTCCTGGTTGGATAATCTCTTCGCCCAAAGTAGGCGAAAAGGCGATCGGGGGGTGTTCACGGATCGTCCAAGGACAGAGCTCATTGCAGTTTTCCAAGCCGATGGACGGCTCTGCCGGATGGATTCTTTGAACGCCCCAAGCAGCATCGGGCACATTGCCAGATCCCCCGAGAGATCTTTGTGTCCAAAAAGAATATGTGACCTTACCGCCCTCTTCAGCATGGTACGGCTGCTTTCGACGGCATTTGAGTGTCGTGTCGCACGTACTACAGACCGTAATCCGTTTGCAAGACGCACAGAATGAATCGAAAATCCGACAAATGGTGGACTGGTAAACGCTCGATAACCAAAGGTCAACAGAGCGATGGGCGCATCCAAAACGTGGTGTCATGTACTCCTCCTTGCCAACTTGGCCGGATTCGGTTGTAAGTTGATATTCCGAGTGGATAACCAACTGATCCTCTTCATTCAACTCCGGAAACAATGATATCTTGAGTTGAGTTGGTCCGTACTGTTCCGTGCACGAGTGCCAACAATAGCGATCGGATGCCGTGTTTCCAAACTGTGAGATCAAGGCTCTCAGTGAAATCTGTCGTACCCGAAGATGGTCGATGAGATCCAGCTTATCACGGAAAGTCAACTTCTTGCACGGGCACAAATCAACAATGCCGGCCAGTTCCCCCACATTGCAAGTCCTATTCTCAGCCTTGCGTCGAATTTCTCGAGATGAGAAGGCGGTCCGAGGGTGTAATTTCAGGCATTTGGAGCATGTGCGCCAGCGGCTATTCTCCAACAGGGTAATGAATTGCCACCGTGGTGTAGCAAAATTATGGCCATTGCGATAATGGTGAAACAAAGGGGCGAAGTCGCGGGTGAATCGTAAGGATTTTGAGCTGAGGATTTCGCCTGAGATCGCGAGCATGCGCTTGCAGGTCAGGGCGAAGGCGGCTTCGGGGATCAGCGTAAGGTGGGTGTTGATTTCAAGTAGTAACTCGGTTGGTAATTCCATGATGTAGCAGCGGCCGGGCTGCTCTTTTTGCTGCTTTCGCAGGCGGGTGTGTGGCCACGACTTCATTTTGAGGGCTGTCTTCAGCTTTTCAGTAGCTCTATGAAGGCGCTCTGGCACGTAGAAAGGGGACTCTTCAAAAGCCATGGAAATCGGTCGGTGTATTGTCTTTGACTAGGACGGGTTCCTGTTCAAAGTATCGCAGTGAAGGTCCGTGGGTTGCTGTCTTTGTCTGGGTCGGGCTACTTTTCAATATATTGTAGCAAAAATGCCACCTGAAGTGAAACTCGGAATGATGATGCTTCTGTTTCTCGATGGGATGTGCTGAAATATCATATTGGAATCGATGGGATCTGCATCTTGTGACGAACAGGCGAGAGAAGCTTCAAAGAGGAAACAGAGCAGAGAAGGGGATCTTTTGACCTAGAAGTATGTCCTGGAAGAAGAAAGAGTTGCACGAAAACGGACCATGAGACTGGACAATCGAGGGCCGCTGACAATGTTATCAGCATTACATATCCCGGGGGACAGTGCTGGGCGAACTGATCATCATCAAGGCACGCGCCGTTTTTTGTCCGATGATCCCGATGCAGGGGCCCGACCTATCTTTACGCATTCAAAATTCCCCTATAGAGAGTTTCCCTTTGAAACAATGTCTATTGTCGGAAGTGGGTTGAGGAACTCTCAGATTCCCCGCCGGAAGCTATCGACCATTCAAGGTTTACTTCCGTTTGCGGCGATGCGGCGAACATTTCATCACCACTTCCCTCCATTACTCTTATTTGAAGAATGGAAACGCTCCCGGATATCATTGTGTGGAAAAAATAAACCGAGGCAGATCTCTATGGTGGAAGATGTGCTCATGATGACCTTGTCAACTGACAAACAGCCCTAATGTCCCATGTTCCATGTCCCATGACATTGACGCATGGCGGCATCCAGTGAAGAGCCAAGAAGTAACGTGATCCGGACCCACCCATTCGGACCTTTGTTATTCCGCTGCGGCTCGTGCTGTACGTACAGTATAAGAAGAAAAAGAGATGATACATTGATTTAAGCACGCAGTATTTTACATGATGGGCTAGGAATCGAAATATCACCAGTCTACTGTACTCTTGATCTTCAATACCATAATGAACGGTTCCCCAAAGATTTTCGATTTGCCATTATAAGCGCCGAAAGCGGTACATTCCGGATGACTAAGGCGGCTCCTAAATGGGTTAAATCACGTGATCTACAGCACAGTATAGAGAGAGTGCATACAGCTATGATAATACCCTGTTGATCGATAAGAAAGAAGACTGAAGTTTAAAGATGTTGAAGTTAAAAAATAGGAGATATATATCCCCATTGACCATAACAAAGGTAACTTAACTGCCTAGCAACAGCTTCCATTCTATCAATCCAGTCCAGAACCTGGGGAAGGCCGAGTTATAACCGCAAGCCCTAAGCCCTGTCCCAATTAGGTACCCAGCGTCATGGGCCTCGACCTTCTACCTCCTACTCCCTGGCGGATCATGATCTGAGGACATCTCCAATGCTATCAACTTGACCGGTGGTTTTCTCAAACGCCTTTCCCTCCCGCCATCGCCCCCCCCCTCCCTCCTACCTCCCTGTAAAAACTCAGAGTCGACTCGATCTTGCATTTCCTACCCCGCCTTCGATGGGCAACAACCCTTCCAAAGGCGGCGATGCGCCATCGGGCCATGTCCCCAATGCCTCGGGAGATCGAAAGGTCGTTCGCCGAACATCCCTCAATGCGATTCCGACACACAAGGCTACTGTAGCCGACCCTTCCGCCTCAAGGGAGACAGCTGCGGGCCACTCGGCAGGTTACCAAGGCTCCGTTCAACACCGGCTAAAGTCACGAAACACCCCCGATCATACCGCAAGAACCGCCGGAAAGTCAGAAAAATACGATGCAAAGAGTCCTGAATATACCCAAAGGAAGAATATCCCCGCGCCGGATCTTTCCAACCCGGTGCAAGTCCCAGTTGCGCGCCATGCCGCGGGACGCGATCCAATGGACCCCTCGGCCCCGCCCATGAGTTCCTACTATAATGCATCGCAACATCTTCAACGGCCTCCACGATTGCCATTACCTATCGCCGATGGCACCGCCACGCCAGGGTCCCCCATTATGGGGCCCGAAGATTCGCATATACAATCGATGCCAGCGGACCGACTTCTCGACGAACAAATGAACCCAGAGACCTCCCATATTAGCAGTGAGGCCATGGACGGCGGGGAGGTCTTAGATGAACTCGAACCATTTACCACGAGTGGCGTTGGAAAGGCTGTGCCTACAGTCATAGAATGGTCTGCACCTGGTCAAAAAGTCTATGTCACTGGAACCTTCGTCAACTGGGAGAAGAAATTCCGACTACACCGAGGGTAAGTATAGCCGCCTATAATATCAAAATTTCAGAATGAAGGTTGGCTCACCATGTCACAGCGAACACGATGGCGCGGTTATGTCGACCACATTGAATCTCCGCCCCGGAACCCACCACTTGAAATTCATTGTTGACGGAGAAATGCGAGCATCCGATACTCTTCCAACTGCAGTGGATTTCACCAACCACCTCGTGAATTATGTTGAAATCAGCGCCGACGATGCCCGTAGAGACAACGACACCCCGGCGGGTGTAAACGACTCGCAGAGTATAGCGGATAATTCTCGGGATGGAAAATCTGAGGAGACAACCGATGACCCTCCGAAAAAAGAAGAAGCTGAGGAAGAGGTCCCACCCGGCGATTTCGGCGGTGCCATCCCCCAGTTCCTCGCAGACCTAGATAAAGAAGAAGACAGCCCGGCATATCTTCAAGCTGCGAATGTCATTGGGGACACTGCGACACCTCCAAGTCTACCTTTGTTCCTTGGCAAATCCATTCTCAACAGCAATACTCCCACCAAAGATGATAGCAGTGTTCTAAATTACCCTAACCACACTGTCTTAAACCATCTTGCCACCAGCAGTATCAAAAATGGTGTGCTCGCCACGAGTGTGACGACCAGATACAAGCGAAAGGTGAGAAACCTCCCAGGCCAGGCCACATATTATCTGAAATAAGCTGACTCTTTGCTTTAGTACGTCACGACCATCCTGTACAAACCAACCGGTGATCTGGAATGAGCGATACTTCAATTCAACCTATGGTGTGGATTTTCACACTTGCGGACTCGATATTTCGAACCATTTCCATAAAATACCACTTGGGACATTATGCAAAGTCCTCACTGCATCAAGAATTTGACGTTCTGTAAATTGGAGTTTAGTTCGGCGTTGTTCTGTGGTTTATTTGCATTTCACCACCAATATCTCCAGGTCACAGCGACAATTTTGCATGCCTTTTTTGTTGACAGGGTAATTTTTATGATAATTCTTCGAACCTATCAAATTTAAATATTGGAAAATTAATATACAGCGAAGTGTTCCATAACTGCAAGCTGTTGGTCGGATTTAAGTAGAAAGAAGTCGGGCTGCAAACAAGTCTTATTTACAAGCCACCCATAAGTGTAGACAAGTTTGTTTGGAATATTCCACTGGATCAATATAGTCCATAGATTCGTGTTTTGTTCTCACGATGCTCGTCGAAGGGTATGATGGATTTACAGAGGGTTCACATGGCATTGAATTTATAATTTTTTCTTTCATATCACATAATCATATCTATTTTATTCTGTCCTGGCGACTGTTTTCGTAGTATGCAACATTAATCCTCCCGCCATTTGACATGCACTTCATCCGTTCGGAATCGCTGTGTGCAAGAAGAGTCCTTTAGAGGAGTCCGGAAGCCGGACTGATAAGCCAGCATTCCAGCTTGCGCGATCATGATTCCATTATCGATGCAAAAGCGTTCATCCGTGGCATAAACGCTACCACCACGATCCCGCGCCATAATACCCATCATCTCTTGTAGTCGTTCGTTGGAGCCCACACCACCAACGATAAGAACTTGTTTGAGATCCAACATGTGCCATTGCACGCTCAGTAATCTCAACAAGCATAGAGTAAACAGTTTCCTGAAGCGAGAAACACAGATCCGCACGAGTAGGTTTGTTGTCGGAGTCGGAGTCTTGGTCTTGGCTTGTCTGCTCCACGTTTGAGGCCTTCTCGGCATCTTCTCTCGCGCGTTCTTCCCCTCCTAACCCCAACGTCGCCGCCAAGGAATCAATAGCAGCCAAAATTCCAGAAAACGAGACATCCATGCCCTTCACTACATATGGGAGATCCACTAGTTGCTTGCCTTGCTTGGCAAGTTGCTCGATATTATAACCCGGGAACGGATCATTGGATATGTGTAGTGTGCGCGCGAATCGGTCCAAACAGTTGCCAACGGCGATGTCGAGAGTTTCGCCGAAAATTCGGTATCTTTGAGAGCTGTATGCGATCACTTGTGTGTTGCCGCCAGAAACGTATAGGACGACAGGGTTGGTTGCGCCGGTAATCAGACGGCCCATTTCGATGTCTAATGAAGAAGAGGAAGGAGAGTTAGTTAGTGTACCTCGAATATAAAGAGAAGATAATGCCGTATGGCTGGGATTGGAAGAAGACTCACGTCCTACACAGTGATTCACACCGATCAATGCCTTGCCCCAAAGAAGACTCAGCATGCGCGCCGCAATTGCGACAGCTTGTAGCGGGGCACCCATTCCAGGTCCTTGGGTGAAGCAGATACAGTCGACCTCCTCGACCGACACTCGAGCCTCCTTGAGGGCTCCCTTCACTAGGTTGACAACCCATGTCCGGTGGTGACGGGCCACATCTTTGGGCAAAAAGCCTTCTCCAGGTGGGGAAACATAGGTGTGTCGAATGTTCGCGAGGACTTGTGGTGGGCTGCCATCTTTGGGATGTGACATAATGCCGATACCAATCTTGTTGGCGGAGCCCTCCATGCCAATGGCAATCATCTTGGAGGTTGTCTATATGGAAATATAGGAAGTGAGAGGGACTGAGCTTTGATATGCTGTTGCTGTTGCTGTTACTCGTCAGGTATGCACTGGTGGTGGTCCTGCCGATTTTCGTTATCGTTATCGGTATCGGTAAAAGCGGCGACGAGACTGGACCAATCCCGTTTCGCCGAACGTTCTCCGAGGGCCAAAAGTTATGAATAATTACGGGTCCTCCATCTACATACTCTTTACCCTTTCATTTTCCCTTTCCCCCCACTCCCTCAACTCTTTGCAGAAATCCTTCACCTTTTCTCCCTTTGATTCTCTGAGCAGGGACAAGGACTGGAATAGGGATATATTGTCCAATCTTCTCTCTCCCCACCTCCCATCACCTCCCCATTCTTTCTTTCGTCATTACGGCTACATCCCATACAACATGTCCTCCTCCAACCACTTCCCCGACCCTTCAAGCTTCCAGCAACAGTCGAACAACTTCATTTCTTGGTTGGAAGGAAGCCCGGGTGTTAAGGTCAACTCCAAGATCCTCCTAGCAGACCTTCGAGCCACTGGTGCAGGACGAGGAATCGGTAAATTCAACTTCCCCCCCCCCCCCACCACACAAAATCCGCAATGGTCAGCAAAATGGGTTGACAGGAAAGCACCTTCTCTAACAATGTTTCTTCTCCATAATTATAGTGGCCCGAACAAACATCGAAGAAGGAGAAGAACTATTCTCGATCCCACGTTCCCTAATTCTCGCCGTGCAGAATTCAGACCTGAAGTCCCTGCTCCCCCAAGATGTGGAGAATCTGGGCCCCTGGCTGTCCCTGATGCTAGTAATGATATACGAATACTTGAAGGGTCCCTCCTCTCAATGGGCACCCTACTTCCAAATCCTACCCACACAATTCGACACATTGATGTTCTGGTCCGCGGCGGAACTGCAGGAATTGCAGGCCAGTGCCATTGTTGACAAGATTGGCAAACAGGGTGCCGATGAGTCGATCCTCGAGTCAATCGCTCCCGTTGTTAGGGCGAACCCGTCTCTATTCCCGCCTGTTGGCCAGCTCTCTTCATACGAGGGTGATGCCGGCGCTGCGGCGCTGCTGGAACTTGCTCACATGATGGGCTCCCTCATTATGGCTTATGCTTTTGATATCGAGAAGTCCGAGGATGATGATGACGAAATGAACGATGCGGATGACAGCTACATGACTGATGATGAGGAGGAGCAGTTATCCAAGGGCATGGTCCCTCTGGCTGATCTCCTCAATGCCGACGCTGACCGCAACAATGTGGGTAGAAACTGACCCGGATCCCGTGACTGGATTTGTCTTCTCTAACAAACTATCATTCTCTAGGCCCGTTTATACCAAGAAGAAGAGTCATTGATAATGAGGGCATTGAAACCCATTCGTGAAAACGAGGAGATCTTCAATGACTACGGCGAAATTCCTCGCGCAGATCTGCTCCGCCGTTACGGCTATGTGACAGAAAACTACGCCCCATTCGACGTGATCGAGCTATCCTTGCGAGATATCTGCCAAACAGCCGGTCTTCCCACTGACGACTTGGAATCGCAACCTAGGGTATGCCAAAAAGAAATCCAGCAAAATCCACCATTCCTGCACCTCTATCTGGACAATTGACTAATTTTGTTGTCCAGCTTCAATTCCTCGACGAGCACGAAGTTCTAGAAGACGGATACGTCATCCCGAGACCTTTGAACAATGCCTCGCTTGAGGATATTCTACCTGCAGAATTGGTCGTCCTTCTCACGACGCTGTCGCAGACACCCGAAGAATTCGAACAGCGTCGATCCAGAAACAAGCTGCCAAAGCCGTCCATGGATGCGAAACAGGCTGCCCTTCTCTGCAAAATCTTCCAAGCCAAGCAAGGTCAATATGCAACATCGCTCGCTCAGGACACCCAGCTCCTACAAAGTCTTTCCCCTCCCCAGTCACCTGCGTCTCTAGAAGGGTCATCTCGTCGACTGAAAATGGCCCTTCAGGTGCGCATGGGCGAGAAGGAGATCTGCCAGGCTGTTTTAGCGATGCTTGATTCCATTGTGGCGGCTTGATTTCTCAAACGAACTACGAACAACACGAACAACGGCCCCGAGAATGGTGATTGAGGTGGATATCGGATATATGCTCTTGAGAGAGCAGGCTCCCGCGGTGGCCATACGAATTACGTTACGAAGCCGACAAAGGCCAAAAAAAGTGTCAAGATATTGGCGAGTGATTATATTTCTGTTAGATTTTGGAAGTTCTCCTTTTCTGCCCTTATTCCCTTTTTCCATCATCACAGGCATCATAACTTCGGTTATCCATCATACAAAACAGCGGTCTCTTCGACCTGCGCGCTCTCCTTCACCAGATATCAAAGAAGGTAAATATGTACACTAACAAACGCAGACATACCCGCTAAGATGCTGGACCAGCAAAATGACGGGCAGTTGCAACAGTATCGAAGGGTAAAGGTGAAGAGGAGCAAGAAAAAGGAGGTGGGCGTGGAGAGGAAGAAAGCAAGGAAGAAAAAAAGCACAAGCGAGACCATCAAATCCCTTCGTCGCCCACGATATTCGTCAAAACATGAAGGGTACTAAAACTACAGTGTGGGAGAAGGTGAAAAGTGGTGAGGTGAGGCGGGGCGACGGGATGATGGAGGAAAAAAAACACACGAAAACGCCCGCCAAATGCTGCAAAAAGAAAAACGTTAAGGGGAGGGAAAGGAAATGACACGATCAAGCCTCAGACGATGCAGCTACCATAGCTGGCGGAGCTGGTGGAGGTCCACTTGGCCCTGGGTTGTTGCCAGCTTGATCGGCTTGCAATCGTCGTTGGGCTTGGACCTGAGCTGCTGCTTGTGCTTGCGCCTGCGCCTGCGCATGAGCAGCAACTGCGGCCTGTTCCCGTGCCTTGGCCATGGTGATGGCCCGGTGTTGCATGATCTGTATGCTATAACCATCCGTTTCATACGAAGACTCTTCATCGGAGTCTTCTTGATCGAATTTGAATCGATCGGTCCGGAGGGGATCCATTTCGATTTTACAGCGTGCCGCAAGGTTTCGACGGTCAATCATTAATCTTCCACCGCGACCAACTCGTCGCCGGAATGACGGCATACGAGACGGTTCTTCATGCAGCTCCATGGCCCGCGAGGCAATTTTATCTCCGCGGCCGGAGAGAGGGCTGACATCCAGCGATGTGTCCATTGCATCAGCCGATGCTTCTGAAGACGGCGGTGTGGGCAATTGTGCAGTAAAAGCCGGACGAAAAGCCGCAGTGTCGAATGTCCTTTCTGGTGACGGTGACAGCGGCGCACGGGTGTGGTCTACGAAGCCCTCGTTCCACTTGATGTGCTTTGCGATATTCTGCTTGATATCGCGCATAATCTCGTTCTCCTTCTCTGCCTGGTGATCTTCCAATAATTGAAGATCTTCTGCGCCTTGCAAGCCTGCCTTGAGGGGCATGCGAATTTGAGGAGCAGTGGGCTGTCGAGATGGCATCTCGGGTTGCTTCTTCTTGGGCTGAGTCGGGCGAACTGTTAGCAAATGTGCAGCAAAGACAAGGAACAGGAGCAGAAGAACATACCTTTTGGTTGATGAGGTCCTCATCATCGTCCTTGATGTTGAGTTTGCGCTTCATATCCCTGACCTCGGAGCGCTGCGCGAAGAGGTGTCGTTCCATGCTAAGCATTTCTTTGCGAGCAACCTCACGTTGACGCACCAAAGCAACCAGTTGCCGTGCATCTTCAAGTTCTTTACGAAGTCGCCGCAGCTTCTCGGCGCTCTGGGCATCCCGACCACGCGTTTTGCGGATCTGACGAACCTCACGCCGACGGAAGCAGACATACGGATCGCTGTCATCAGTGTCCTGACCAGTCTCGAACTACACAAGTTCAATTGTTAGCAGAGTATTCGTCTGAATGGCGGGGGGGTTACAAGGGCGCAATTGCAATTTACCTTCAAGCTTGGCTGGAGCGAACGATTACCGGCGGCGATTCGTCGTGACTTCCAATGCTCATATATAACCTTGGCGAAGCGCTTCACAGATTCCTCCACTGCGGCATCCATGGAGTCTTCCATATCCGCAAATGCTAGAACGGGCGGGCTATCCACAGCAGCGAATGGCTGTTTCGCTTCGGCGGTCTCCTCAAAGAAGTTCATCGTGGCTTCGAAGTCATCTTCTGAACACCGGTTCGCCGGGTTCTTCTGATTGAAGATCTTGAGAAAGACATCATCCTCTTCGGTCATGTTATATGGACAGCCGCAGCAGTCCTCCACCGTGGAGGAGAAGCGGATATACGTCGCAGGCTGCGAGAATATTGGAGGGTATAATTCGTCATATTGGAGGTTACTGAGGATGGTTTCGGGGGTTGGGATGTGCGCGGCAGTAACATTGCCTTTAGCAGTGGCATTGATCGCGACTTGCAAGTGGAATTCCTAGCGAGGCGCGTCTCGAGTTAGCTTCGTGAAAATTTCGTGTCGCTTTGGTGATGTCATCACGTGATGATATGCAGGGATGAGGCTAGGCTAGAATTAGAGGGGGGGAAGGGCAACGTACGGACTCCTCGGCCTTTTCCACGCCGGTTTCGATTTGTTGGAGTGTAGACTGAAGTTCGTCGTCGATTACATCGATCTCATGTTCGCGAACGATGGGGATGGACGCCTTAGCAGTGAGCTTCTTAGGGCGCGTTCGACCCAGGCCCCCGTACCGAGTCATAGCGTCGGGACGCGCAAAAGCACAACGACCATGGGCGGGAGTGGGATCAAAGGGGTCTCAATCGAAAGGTCAGGTCATGCGGTATCTCGTAGTCGTATTTTCGAGATGGAAATCGATGAGGAAGGGGGTGATAATGACGGTCAAAGTTGGTCGGGTTCGCAGCAGGCGGTTGGATTGACGTTGCAATGTCACCCGGTGATGGCCTGTTTTGCCGCCCGCACGGCCTCAGGGGCTCGCTTGCCTGTCCCGATCCGGTTAGTGCGGGGCTGGGCATTATCAAACTTGGTCTCTGCTATCATTCTGCTATCATTCTGGTGGTCCTTTCTACCCCGGCTTTGTTTTGTTCTCCGCTCTCTTCACTCTTGTACTCCTGTGCTTTGTCTTGTTGTATCCTCTCTTCAACCTTTCCCTTTCCCTTTCCCGGTGTTGACTCCTTTCATTCCTCTCTCCAACCCATCCACCTTCCCCTCACATTCCTCCCCTCCCCCTCTTCCACCGCAATGGACCAGCCACAGCCAGCCGAACCCAACGCCGCCGCCATGCACAATGTGGCGCGCCGACGAGGCTCCGTCGGAACTACACAACTGTTCGATAATATTATCTCGACCTCAAATTGTTCGTTTCCCCCAAGTCATGGCGTCAAGACGAGGTCACGAGCTCCCCGCTGACACTCAAAATAATAGTCGATCGCGATGAGGTGGATCGCCTGCGCAAGCGATTCATGAAGCTTGATAAGGTTCGATCAGCTTGAAACTATTTCTAGCCCCCCCCTCGATGACTTACTAACGATCGATCTCCCAATCTATAGGATGGTTCCGGTACGATCGATCGCGACGAGTTCCTGTCCTTGCCCCAGGTTTCCTCCAACCCGCTTGCCACGAGGTACGTCCACGCAGTCGATCTTCCCAATATACCCTATCAATCGCCCATATTGACTCGGTTTATAATAGAATGATTGCAATTTTCGACGAGGATGGCGGTGGTGATGTTGATTTCCAAGAGTTCGTGACTGGCCTGTCGGCCTTCAGTTCCAAGGGCAACAAAAGGGAGAAGCTTCGATTTGCATTCAAGGTCTACGACATCGATCGCGATGGATATATCTCCAACGGTGAACTCTTCATCGTGTTGAAGATGATGGTGGGCAACAATCTCAAGGATGTGCAACTACAGCAGATTGTGGATAAGACTATCATGGAGGCCGATAAGGACCAGGATGGACGCATTAGTTTTGAGGAGTTTCAAGACATGGTGGAGACCACGGATGTCAACCTGAGCATGACTCTGAGTAAGTCTCGCTTTATCTCCGTTTCTCCTACATGGGGATTGTGTTTTGTCATACTGGCAGATCCATTTGCTAACACGACTATCAGATCAAATATGAACCCGGCGATGGACATACTTGGACCTCTACCATTAGTACTGCGCTGCGCTTGATTGCACTTCTCTGCGTGCATTCCCCTTTCTGTTCTGTTTATTTTTCTTTTTAAATTTTTGTTCTGGTTTCGCCTGTTGTCCCGCTCGTTCTCATGTCCCTCCTCACTCTCTTTGTGGTGATCCATGCAGGTGGGCTTTCTGCCTTATGACTCTATGACCAGCGACGTGATGTGCTTTCCCCCCCTGCAATGTAGTTTACTGCCAATGATATTCCCATCCCTCCCGAGCCTCGGGCCAACCTCCGGCCGAACTGTAAGTCTCGTGGTGAGGTGCAATCTCAACCGGGAGGGGGTCCAGTCGCAATCCCAATCCCAATCCCAATCCCATTCCACAACTTTCCTTTCCCACCCATTCTGCCTCGCCCGGGAGCTCTCGGTGTCACTATCCCTCCGAGCAGAAGCAGCAAAGCCCAGCTCGGCTATAAATGGACATCGTCAGCTGACAGGGGGACCAGAAACGTCAGCAGCGGTGAAACTACCCAGGTTCCCAGTTGCGGCCAGTATACCGAAGGCGAAGGGTGCACAGGAGGGCGTGCGAGATCAGACCGAGTCCCGGGTTGTGCAGATTGCATCATTTTCCTAGCCTCGAGGGCTAGTCGGAACAGGATGAAACCCACATTTTTCTTTTCTTCCCCCTTGACCTCGGCACTGTCCCCAACCCAACCAGAGTATCGGATCTGGCTGGGGCGGAACGAATCGAACCCTAGGGCGGATTTTGGCTTGACACTTGGACTTGACATCTCTGGCTCCACTCCACTAATCGTCAACCGACGTGTCTTGGGTCGATTCAATCTTGCTGCAGATTGCAGATCCGGAATCGGGCAGACGATGCCCGATCTGTATTTCAAATCCTGACTTCCTGACTCCCTGACTCCCTTTGGAGGCTTTTTTTCTTCTTGCTTTCTCTCTGTACTTCTGACCCAAGTGGATCAGATCAACTGTGCCCTGCCCTTTGGTTGCAGATATCCGAGAAGGAAGGGGGGAGGTGAAGGGAAGGGAACAGCAGCGCAGCAGCTGTCCGAGCAATAATATGCGCCCGGAATGTCCAGTCACCCTCCTTCTAACCCCCCCCTTTTTATTATTATTGTCATTACTGCTGCTACGGAGTACTTCGGCGTACAGTACTACTACTACGAGTATTATTGCTATTATCATATTATCTATCATATATTATCATTCTTCTTTTACTTTCACTCCTTCTGCTTCTGCTTCTTTTGTTTTTGTTTTCTTCTTTTCTTTTATCCCCTCCGGTTGACTGCTTTACAGCTATACTTTCTTCAAGCTGAACACGACTCATCTTTCAGGTCTGCTTACTCTTGATTTCTCCGTGGCTGAAAAGATAGAGAGGGGGAGAAGGGGGGGGGAGGAATCCAATCCATTCCATTAGGGCCTGGGATCTCCAGCCCCATCTCGCAAGTTACACATCCAAAAAGAAACAGAAAATAATAATAATAATAATAAGACAAAACAAAACAGAGAAAAAAGAAAATAAAAAAGGAAAGACACACCTGACCCTGTCATCCCTAGCTTTCGGGAAATCCACCAGGAACCAACGCACCGGGTTCCCGGGCGATCGCAGACGCGCAGAGTTCGTAGATCGGTGTGCGATCGTCGGTCTAGCGCCATCCCAAGTAGATAGTCTCAAATACTATCCCTTCCAGGTACCCGGTCCTCCACGAGTTAACCTGTTCTTGTTCTTGTTCGGTACCCTCCTGCCCCAGTGACAGCTCTTTCGTTCATTACTGTCGCTTTCGCTTTACTGGGTACGTTCAGCCCTTTCTTAGTCTAACTATCTCCCCTCCCCACCCCCCCCTCCCTCTCTCATCCATCTATCGTCATCCTTTATTTTTTTTTGGCCCCCTCCCCTCTGCTCACGTTACAATCAGATTCGTCATATTTTGGGAGCCCTACTTTTTATTTTATTTTTGTGGATTCCATTTATTTGGTCCTATTGTTTTTAGGTCACCCGTGGCTTTGGCTTTGGCTTCGTTTTATAAATCATCAATCATCTCGTCGCCAATCTCTCGTCCTCGTCTTCATGTAATCAATTCACTTCGACTTTCTCTCAGTTGTCTTACTCTTACTCTCACTCCCACTCACTCTCGCTAAATTATTCTTTGTCGGTACGCCTTGTCTGACTCCGAATTCTGTTCTGGCGCCTCATTCGGTGGCTATCAATCTTGAAATTCTCGGTGGCTATTTCTTGGGTCCACATCCAGATCTACATCATCTAGATCCATATTCATATTCACAACCCAATATCTGCAAATACAGAAAATAATACCCCGGGAAAACACTACATCAGACACTTCTACAAAGTACAGAGAAGCGAAAATACCAAGAGATACACAGTGATCTACTGCAATATATCAAACCAAACAATCCAAATCATTCTCCAAGCTGGCATCCTACGCAAGTCCGCCCTTGTCCCCCAACCCCAAGACTTGGGCCAATATCGACCTCCACAGGCTCCGGTGGGACGGCCTAATGGATGGCGACAGCCACAAGCAGAATGAACGATTCATGGCAAGATCCCGCAACTCGACAGCCAGAGGCCGTGCAGCCGACTCCTTCGAGTCTTCCACTATGCATCCACGTGGAGACCCAACAGGGCTGTCGCAGGCGCCAGACCGCGGGTCGATGTCCTACGACTACGAATACACAGGCACATCCTTCGCCGACGGCTCACTGCAGGGCAATGAGATGTCATCCTATCCGCCCGAGTTTGTACGGCCACGCCAGCATCAAGCGGCGCCATCCACGAGCGGCCAGCAACGTCGACGACCGCAAGAGGTGCCGCCGTTCGTGCCATACGAGTCCGCCATGCTGTACGGATTTGGTCAGCAGGGTCCAGCCCCAGGTTCCTTTGAAGTTGTTCCACAGTACCCGCCACGGCAGTCTGCAGCGATTGAGGCCCTGTCGAACCAGTTTGCCGTTCCACAATATTTCACCCCCGAGGAACCCTCAGCGACGGGGGTCCCAGTCGGGCTCTCGCCTTATCTCAACGCGCAGATGCAATATAATCAACCTGGCCCCATGGCACGTCCGAGTACTATGCAACCCTTCCCCGCCAACATGACCGACTTCACCCCAATCGGCGCCCCGACTGGCCGATTGGAGCACTCCCCTCAGCATCATCATCAGCAGCAGCAGCAGCAGCATCAGGCTAACAGCTCTGAGACCGTGCCCGTGGACGAATCCTCAACTCTAGACGAAGCCTATGCTCAGTACCGGCGAGCACTGCGCAGCACCTTTGACCACACGCGCGCCGGACGATTGGTAGAAGCCAGCCGATCGCTACTGGAAATTTCCGAGTGGCTTGTGGCTAACGCCCGGGATCTTGGTAGGTTCGGCTCCTTTCCATGCTCTTTCATATTTTACCATGCGGGAGGTACAATGCTGGTACAAGGTTGCTGCCGCGCCCCAGAGCGTGCGGAGAGGTCGTACCACAATAGCATTCTGGCCTGGGCCCTGTTTTTAAAACCAGGGAGCTGTATTTTTTCTCTCTTTTCTCTTCCTTTGTGCCTACACACACGCGTCATACAAGCATCATCTGACAGGCCCAGCGGGGGAATACCGATACCATAACCATAACCCTTGGGAATATTACCAAAGAGTATCAAAATGAGTACTAATCTTTTCTGTTATTTCGATATAGGAATTCTGCGCGATGATCAGCTTCTCTATCATGATCGATTACAACTTTGGAACGACTTTAACCTTTGCTGGTTAGCCGTGTGTCAAAAGCAGAAGGATCTGTTTCAAGATCTGATCGCGACGGGTCATTCACCAGCGCATACGAGTCTCATCGGTCGAGATCAGTTGGAGGCCATGGGTAAGGATCTGATCCACCTTTGTGATCAGTTAGAGCAGCATGGGCTAGTCGATTATCAATTGGGCATTTGGGAGGAAGAGATTCTATGTGGTGCGTTAACAGAGCTTTGTAGAATCCCTACTTGCTGCCCTCCCCCCGCCCCCACCCCCACCCCAGCCCTCTTCAAAAATCGCATCGCCAGATAATTCCGAATCTAAGCCTATCCTAACTAACCCTACAATAGTCCTAGGTCAATGTCTAGATGTGATAGAGAGTCGACCAGAACTCCTACGCGTCCATGCGCTACCCGAACCCACGGCCGCGGCGCCACGGCCCTGAACAAAAAAAGCCCTAATTGACCAACGAAATCGTCCTCTCCCCCTCCATCACGCCCCTCAAAACCAAACCTTCGGCTCCAAATTAAAACACAAACACGGGTCCATCATCATCTGGCGATCACTCGCCAGAGGTACAGGTTAGCTGCGGGGCAAAATATGAGGTAGCAGCCACCACGGCGCAAGCTATTGCCTACTAGCGCCATGCCAATCAACCCGCCCACCCGCGACGGGACGTGAGACGTGAGATCATCCAAAGCCACGCCAAAGCTTTGGAACTGGTCAACTGCCACGATTCGTCGCCTTGAAAGAAAAGACTCCGATCTCGAAGATCAACTCAGGATTTGGGCACATCATCTCCTCTCCTCCACGCTACGCTACGCTACTCTACTCTACCCCTCTTGGCTACTCGTACCTATCAATCATCTCCACTCCACCGCCATCCCGTCTTCCCCGTGGTATGGAAGAGCTGAAATTAGCTCCATTTACGGGGGCATCCGACACTCACACTACACCTACACACCTCCGCCTCACTCTGTCCCTGTCCCAAATTGGTAGCGACTATGGAGTATAGTATACGCTATTTCTAGGCTACTAATCGCCGTACTACCCTAGTACGGTGTATTTCTACGATAATGACAAAAATGTACATATCAACTTTTTCTTTGAGTGTTCAAGTTCACCTTTGTGGTTTAGTGCAAGTACGGAGTACCCTAGCCTGGGGATATTTGATATTTCTTTTTCAGGATAGTTGCATTCAGGGCGTGGTGAGGGGATACAAAAAAGTCTCGGATGGGAAGGGAAATAGGAGTAGGCTCTCGGCGCAATGAATTTATGATTAGCGTGATGATTACCGTATATGATTAATGTTTGTCGGGGTATTTGAGTTTCTAGGTCATGGACGCCTTGGGATCTCTCTTACAGCTCTTCTCTTGCATTTCCGATTGGTGTGCCAATCAATCGGGTCCTTGGGGGTAAGGCTAAGAGGGTCTGCCAAATACAGTCATCTGTAGGATGGCTTTTCTCATCACATATTGATATGCAGACGCCTCACTCCGTGCTCCCTGAAAAGCGAAAGCGAGGCTGAATAGTGAGGCCGATTAAAACAAATGGTTATCCCTAAAGGGTTAGGGCTACTGTCATGATATGGACTAGGTATGTGATGTCAAGTCCGTATACTCCGTACCCATCGGTAATAATTATAGCTTACTTGAAGTGGGCTCTAACGCATTCTCAGCAACTGAAAAGTTGAAGCCCTACCCTTGCACGATTCGGATAATTAACACAGGGAGATTCCTGGGGACATCCGCACAGTTCATTGGTTGGCCAGTGATATAGAAGATACCCGTGGACTTGGATCAGTCGATGAAAGCTCCATATGCATTGAATATAGGATATAGAACAAGGCTGGCACTTTTGAATGCCATGCAAGTGAAATAATACATGAGATAGATAATACAAGATAGTATCGCTGCAGAAGGATATCGCCTTTGTCCGGTTTCAACGCTTGACCCAGGCAGGCATCTTGCGAGCCTTGACATGACCCGGCTTCTTTCTCTCCACACGACGAGCATCGACCGTAATGACACCGGCTAAAGAAGAAAAGAAAAAGGTCAGCACCGCTCAAATATCGAAGATGGAAGAAAGAAGACAATTTAAACTCACCTCTCCGCAGCAATGGCTTCAGACCAGGCTCGTGCACCATCAAAGCCCGCGCAATCGCCAATGTAACAGCCTCCGTCTGGCCAGTCACACCACCACCCCGAACCGTAACCCAAGCATTGTACTTGTCCATTCGCTCGGTGGTACGCAGGGCCCACAGCGCACTCTCACGGTCGTGTACACGGGGGAAGGCCTCAACAACAGACTTTCCATTCACAAGGATCTCACCCTCACCCTCGACCAAGTGAACAACCGCCTTGGACTCCTTCCGCTTACCCTTCGCACGCGCCTTTCCATTCTCATCCAACTCGGGAGTCTCGCGCACCACGGCATACGGGTTTCCAGGACGAAGGAATGAGTCCAGCACGGTGCGGACTTCACCGGGGACCATCTCTGTCTGAATTCGATTCAACCGCTGGAGAATCTTAACCAGACTCTTATATTTCTTAACCGGCACGGCCTCGCCAACATATTCGCGGAACTGCTTGAGTTTGAACCAGGCCATTCGAGGGGCCTCGCCGGCAGGCAATTGAGGGAGGGCGGCGTAGCGGGCTTGTAGGGACTCCAGGTGAAGGACGTGGTCGACAAATCGCGGGCTACCGGAGAAGTAAGAAGGAGAGGCGGGAACGATTCGGGCCGGGTTGCGAAGGAAAGAAGTCGAGAAATCGATCTCTGGAGCTGCTTGGACAGGCAAATCTGGAATTGATTCGGGTTGGATTGCCGTGTTGGTCTCTGCCTCTGTCGCATAGGCACGGGCTAAATGCCTTGATGAAGGAATCAAGGAGCGTTGTGGGAATTGCGATGACAGTCGCAGGGACTGCATCGCCTGGACGAGGCCATTGGAGGTAGGCCGGGCCATTGTGAGCAGTTGGGAGTTGGGAATGATGATGATTGGGATATAATGGGCACGACACTCGGACAGTTCAAAGGTTTCTCGGCCTTTCGGAGGAATATTCTTGCAGGCCCAAATCACGTGCACGGCGGGCGGTTGCTGAAAATTAAAAACTTCCCGTTTGCCCCTCGATCTCCTCTTTCTTCTTCCCTTTCCCCCCCATTCTCTCTTTATCCCATTCAAGATGTCTTTCGGCAAGCTTTACGGTCTTCCTGTATGTTTTTGATCCCTTGTGTTCAATTGCTATTTCTTTTTCATCCTTACTGACTTTATTTCCTCCTTCCCAGGACAACCCTCGCACCATCTCCATCCTGGTCGCTGCCAAGCACAACGACCTGGACTTGGAGCTGGTCAAGACCACTGCTAACTCTTCCGCCGAGTTCAACTCTGGTGCTGAGTACCGCAAGGTCTCTCCCCAGGGCAAGATCCCTGCTTTCGAGGGTGCCAATGGCTACACTCTGACTGAGGCTATTGCCATCGCCATCTACGGTACGTTATGACAACGTGCTGGGTTTATTTTTTTTATACCCACCACCCACCTTCACTTCACCACTGGCCTCACAGCCAACCCCTTTCATGATGAGATGTATAAATTATTAGTTATCCCTGTCAGAACTACACTGTTGAGAAGCTACACACCTCTGAAAAAATCACGCAAGAGAAGAATTGTGTACCCCGCTTGCCGGGCGAAAAATTCTTCACCTTGGGGCGTGTGGACTCATCCTCCTCCCCCCTTTCCCCTTTCTTGCTTCACGTTGCCCCGTCAATGTTTCCAATTGCTCCTATTGTGGATCCACCTGTCAAAAAATCAAACCATGACTAACCTGATTTGATTTTTCAGTCACCTCCCAGAACGAGAAGACCACCCTCCTTGGCAAGACCAAGCAGGACTATGCTTCCATCGTCCGCTGGTTGTCCTTCGCCAACAGTGAGCTTCTGCCCCGTTTCGGTGGCTGGTACCGCCCCCTCCTCGGCCTCGAGCCCTACAACAAGAAGACCGTCGATGAGGGTGCCAAGGCTGCCCTGAACACCATCGCTGTCCTCGAGGCCCACCTCACCGCCAACACCTACCTGGTCGGTGAGCGCATCACCCTGGCTGATATCTTCACTGCCGCTCTCCTCACCCGCGCCTTCGCCACCGTCCTGGACAAGGCCTGGCGCAGCGCCAACCCTGCTACCACCCGCTGGTACAACACCATTATCAACCAGTCCGCTTTCAAGGCTGTTGTTGCCAACCCCGTCTTCGCTGAGGAGGTTATCAAGTACACTGCCCCCAAGAAGGAGGAGAAGCCCAAGGCTGCCCCCGCCGCCGAGGCCCCCAAGCCCGCTGCTGAGGCTCCCAAGCCCAAGCACCCCCTCGAGGCCCTTGGCAAGCCCACTCTCCCCATCGATGAGTGGAAGCGCCAGTACTCCAACGAGGACACCCGCTCCGTTGCCATGCCCTGGTTCTGGCAGAACTACAAGCCCGAGGAGTACTCCCTCTGGAAGGTCGACTACAAGTACGACGACGAGCTGAAGCTCACCTTCATGGCCAACAACCTGGTCGGTGGCTTCCACGCCCGTCTTGAGGCTTCCCGCAAGTACCTCTTCGGTTGCCAGGCCGTCTTCGGTGCCAACTACGACTGCGTCATCCGCGGTGTCTTCCTGGTCCGCGGCCAGGAGTCCGCTCCCGCTTTCGAAGTTGCCCCCGACTGGGAGTCCTACAACTTCGAGAAGCTCGACCACAACGACGAGGCTACCCGCAAGTACATTGAGGACCTCTGGGCCTGGGACACTCCCCTTAAGGTCGGCGAGAAGACCCTCGAGAACGTTGACGGCCACGTCTTCAAATAAGCGAGTGCGTCCTGCACCTGCAATTAAAGATTTCCTTTCTCCCCATCCTTGCCATCAACCCAATACCCCGCTTCTTGTCAGCACTTTTCTTTGCCTGACCTGATTAATGGTGGCAGGATTTAAAATACTCCCCCTTTTTTTCCTGTTACGCGCCGATGTGGTTCATGTTTACGTTGTGATGTGAGATGATATGACTTGCAAGAGGTCTTTTTTTTACCTACTTGTTTCGTCCCTGCTAGTAAAATTAGCAATCAATGAAGAAGAGACCTTGGTCTCCGAAGAACAAGTATTTTTGAGTTCCACTGTAGTTTCCACGTATACTAGTAATCCGTTTTATATATACTCACTCGTGTCATGATGTTCCGAGTTGCTACCCGTTGTTATTGCCATCCACGGCAGATTTCGGATCAACCACCTTGGAATTTGAACTTGAGGACAATTCAGACCCATTCAAACTGGAAATATCACACTACCCTTAGTACTATCCTATCAACTATCATACATTATCATCCCTCGCATCCTCTCCATCTCGCTTTATATTGCCTCGGTTGCATTCCAGTGGGGCCGTGGTGGCCCGTGCAACCAAGGGGCCATTCGTCTCGCATCTCAAACGCGCCATCAGTTGAACTTGAACTTTGTTAGTTCCGAGTCCTATATTCTCTCCTTCCGATCGATCATTGACAACCATCCCATCCCATCCCATCGCATCTCATGACCCGAGTCCGAGGTGTCCAGCTGTCACTCTCTTGTTGATCGGCGATTGCAGCTGTCAAGCCTCACTAGCGCGGCAGTCTCCACCGCAACGTGGGGACTTCCCCAGGAACAACAAGCAAGACAGGCACACGACCAGGAACAGGAACAGGAACAGGAACAGGAACAGGAACTGAAATAGGCACCGAAATAATCCTATTGGACCGGACTCAGCCATGCTTCCACGATCAATCCTCCGAGTGCGCACATTACTCGCCGCCCTCCTCCTCGCCTCATTCCTCGTCTGGTCTTTCTCACGATACACGTCAGCGCCAACCCTCGACTTCGGCCGCACCGTACCCGACCTAACGACCGCCCAACAATCATTCTGGCGCTCACTCCACATTCTCCTCGAGCAACATGGCCCAGATACAAACCCACTTGTCGAGGACATCAAGGCGCCGACAGAAGGCTTCAACGCGGATGATAATGCCAGACCACGACCGGACTACGTGCTCGTCGCGCGAGAAGACGTCGATACAATGCGAGAAGCGCACTCAAACTTTCTAAATGCTCTCAATTCGAAACCCGAGTCTTCAACCAAATCTTCCAATTTACACCTCCAATATATTCCGGGCACAAAGGGCATCGTTTCAACCGCTGGCGGTTCTTACCTCCCCGTCCTAGTCATCTCTCTACGTATGCTCCGTCGCACCGGGTCCAGATTACCCATGGAAGTCTTTCTCGCCGACGAAGAAGAGTACGAAGAGTATATCTGCGACGTCGTTCTCCCCTCGCTAAACGCACGATGTATTATACTCTCAACCATCCTGGACGCATCATTACCAACTGCCAAAATAACAAAATACCAATTCAAACCCTTCGCAATGCTCTTCTCCTCCTTCGAAGAAATCCTCTTCCTAGACGCAGACGCATTCCCCCTCAATGCCCCCGAAAAAATATTCACAAGCACACCTTTCAAAACAACAGGCATGATAACATGGCCGGATTTCTGGTCATCAAGTGTTTCACCCACATTCTACGAAATAAGCCACACCACACCTCCGGCAATGAATCTGCGCGCATCGACTGAATCCGGCGAATTCGTGCTCTCGAAAAGGACGCACAGTCTCACGTTGATTTTGGCAACTTATTACAATTATTACGGACCGAGTCATTACTGGCCTCTTCTTTCGCAGGGTGCGGCCGGTGAAGGTGATAAGGAGACGTTTGTTGCGGCGGCTATGGCTCTCGGTGAGCCGTTCTATCAGGTTTCTCAGGCTATTTGTGCGCTTGGGCATCGGACCGCTGGGGGGAGTGGGATGGCCGGCTCTGCTATGGCGCAGTTTGATCCGGTGCAGGATTATGCTCGAAGAAGTGCTCGCGAGGGGAAGGGGGTGGCCAGTGGTGGAGGGGATAAGCCAGATGTATTCTTCATCCACGCTAATTTCCCGAAATTTAACCCGGCGACGATCTTTCAGAGTGGGCACGAGGTGCAGCCTGTTTTTGATGATGAGGGGGGGTTATACGCGTGCTTGGACGATTCCTGAGGATGTTATTGCCAGCCTGAGGTTAAATGGTCATAGTGGGAAGGATGTTGAGAAGGTCTTTTGGGAAGAGATTCTTTGGACGGCTTGTGAACTTGAAGGGAAGTTTGTTAGTTGGGGGGGAGTATGTGGGAATTTGTGAGGGTGTTAAGGATTATTGGAGGGGTGTTTTTGGAGAGAATCTTCCTTCTTGAATTGGGGGATGGTAGATATGGTATGGTATAAGAAAAAAGTATGGGCTTGGATATCTGTCTTGTCTTCTCTTGTCCGGTCCGGTCCAGCCCAGTCCAGCCTCACCCAGCCTAGTCCTGGCTGGTATGATATACTCTACTTCATGACTCCTCGGAACCCCCGAGATATCCCCCATAGCGGGCTGGATACACTATCGGCGGCGCTGAAGCCATGCCATTGAAAGCCAGAGTCTGGCTGGCTTCCTCGACTACGCACGATAGTGGCCTGTGACATTGCTGAAGCAATAAATTAGTAACTTGGTTTTTATATTGACTTGACGAAGGCTTATGGAGTAGCTCCAGCTGGTTTGGAGGGAGGAAATTGTCGGATGTTCTTGCTATTCAGTCTATAGACATTGGAGCTTGTATCAATCATCTTAAAATGCAATGAAAATCCCATCAAAAAACAAACCGAGTTCTTCAAGTTGTGTATGTATAGCTCACTTCCCCTCCTATCCATATCGCCTCTCTACCTAGATCTATGCAGATTGGGAAGTACGAGAGTGAAAAAAAAAGCAGGGAAATGCATTCACAATATTGATAAAGCGGTTTATCTTGATTCGCTGGTTGCTAGTTTACAACTCGAATATGAGGACCTGTGGGATTGACGTCGAAAATGACCGCTTGTGAGGCCAGAAATGGCTGCCTTTCCACCCGTAACTTTGGACGTCCAGTCGCCCCTTTGACCGTCTACTGCCCTATAACACCACTACTCTGTACCCGCCCAGCAATGTTAGTTATCCTCCGGTCTTGATGTTGACGCTCGACTTATCCGGTTGTTCCCCTCATTTCTACTGCCGACCAAAACGACGCCGAAAATGGCTCCCTTTCAGCTGAATTTAAGTACCCTCTCTTTTCGCCCGGTCTATTTGAGCGCCTATAAGATGCTTCGCCTTACCTCACCTCCTGTGTCCTTGCACCTCTTATTCTCTCATCCTCGTTGCCTACGCCTCGAGACGACCTTGACTTTGTTATTTCCCGCAATATAAATTTCCTACTCTGGTCTTTGTATTTTATCTCTATGGCACCTACGTCTGAATATCCGGCTCAAACCGATAAGCACCAATACTAGACCGATCCTATTATTTGCGAGGAAACAGCCTTATATAGTAGTTTGAGGTCCTACCAGTTCCGAGGACACTGCCTGGCCTCATCCATCTCATCTAAGGGTATCCACTACTCCCTTACTACTTCCACTAACTTAGCGTACTTCATTAGTACTTTCCAGCTAGCCGAAGCCCCAAAGTCCTTGGCTCATTTTTACAATACTACCCTTATCATATTCGGTATCACTGACTAGTGTATGAAGCGGGTCTTATTGTATGCCGGTGGCAAAATGGAGAATTGTCGATATGAAAGTGCCAAGCATGTATGCACAAAGCCTACATACACCGAACAATGGGGATAAATTACCCGAAAAGAGCCGCAGGGTCCATGTCAGGAAGAGTCGTACAGGAGCCTATGGAGTCTGTGCGTATTTGCCAGTTAGCGTTGACTACTCAAACTAGGCACTGTAACGCTGCAACTGGTCACGGAAGCCGAAAGCCAAGGGCTGGGCAGGGGGCGGCCCCAAATCCGCGCTGCCCGGCACACTGCAGAGGCAAACTTCCAGGGTCGTTAGCCCAGTTGTTGATAGGACCATGAGCTGCCAAGCCGCCACTTGTATACGGGCAAGGATCAAAGGTCTCACATGGTCTTTCAACCTCTGCACCCATTTAATTGCCTTCGGAGTCTATCTGAGCGCTGGCCCCCAATATTCTTGTTCATCTTACCTTCACTGTTTACCAATTTGGTTCCCTGCTTTGCAGATTTCTTAAATCTGCGTGGTTTTTTTCTCGCTCCCATCCTTCCACGATCACATTCAAAGGTCCGACTTGCCCTCATCATGCACATTTCAACGACGATCTGGATGCTCGCTGCCTGTCTGGGGACTGTGATCAACGCTTCTGATGTACTAGAAGTGAATCTGGTTTTTCCGCGCAATGAAACATATGGGCCCAACGAAACGTTCCCTATTGTCTTTGCGTTCAAGAATTCCGAGCGCGTGAGACACCTAAACCCCTTAATCAGTTACAGTTTAAGGGACGAGGATGGCGGCAAAGTCTACACCATGTGGCATGAACTCTACTGGGTAAACTGGACAGACCAGGAAACCTATTTTGCCCACAGATTCGCCGACTCCGGATCCTTGAATACCGAGGGTCGTTGGAGCGTACTCTGGACCCTAAGCTGGGATAGTTGCAACGTGGAATCCCCCCGATTACGGCAACGAGGTGATCAGAAACACCACTACTAAGAGAACCATGTTCACTATCAGCAACTCCGCCCCAAAGCTGGACCCCGTTGCTGCTACGGCCAACAAGACATGTACCGGGCAACCAGGCGTTGCGATCAATGTGACCGACAAAACCAAGTTCATCAGCAGCGCACTTTGGGAGGGCGGTAAATACACCAACCATACATGCGCCGTTGTGGCAGCCTCCCCGACTCCTTCAACGAATCCCTGTCGGACTCAAATTGACAAGACCACTCTCGCCAGCATGGAGGCCTCTAGATTGGCCAGGTACTGCGATCTTTATCTTAACGAGCCAGCCGAGTGCCCGGATAAGAAGAGTGCCGCACAACCATTGGCGGTGGCGGGTCTCTCCTGCTTGCTAGTCCTTACTGGGGCGTTGGGCTTCTTTCTTGTGTGACCAGGCAACTCTCTTTTATTGACTGATTCCCTACTCCTGCTGCAGGGTCTTGATTGTCCGAGTCCATTCTTTTGTCCATATTGTTCATACACTCTACTTGATATAATTCAATTCAATACCCAGGCGTTGCATTATTGACCCACATGATTAGTATCTTGAAACCTGTTACGTTGGTGCACGTCCTTCGCTTGTATAGAGTAGCCTCTCATCTAGAGCTAATATCAGCTGTACTAAGGGACTGGCTAGTAACCAGTTGACCAGGCAAGTGATAGGGAATAAAGGCTGTTATTCGTAGGTAACAATAAAACTGATTCTTGAAGAACCTTCAAAGAATCGGGCAGGTATCAACTGCTTAATATAACAAAGAGTCCGGAGCTCAATTCAAAAAATTCCGGATCGGATATGAGTTCCAGTCGAATCGATTTCGTCAAGTCCTCGTTCCATCCGGTGCCACCGGCAAAATCTAATCCCGTCGAGCTGTATTGCGATCTTATCAGATATCTGATAGGAACATGCCGGATGCCTCTCGGCCTCGAGAGGGCTAAGGATCGCTGTCACCTCAACATCCCGTGACAGTATACTAAGCCTAGAAAAGCTTCTCACAGGTATATTCCTAGTTAAATATAGAATCCCCTAATAAATAAAGGACAACAACACTCTAGATATAGATGTTTCTGGTGTGATATACAGTATCGTTAGGGCTATTATATATATATTTTTTGTTATAGGAGTATTCGTTTAGTTTAATATAGTATAGCTCTAGTCCGCCATTACCGGCACATAACCTAGTGTCTCACTTCTACAAAATATGTTATTATCTGGTAATCTAACTTTAGGCAAAGATAAATAGGATAATGCCTCTTCTAGAGTAATATTCTAAAGCATATTTCTTGAAATATCTTCTAGAAGTCAGCGCTGTGTTGGTACACAGCTTGAGATTTGATCGGTATTAACACCAGCGGCTGGCTCATTGGGGATCTCGACAATGGCATTTTCGTCAACATTAGCGTACCGGGAGGACATCTTCAACTGGTGCAATAAAATTGGAGCAACCAATGGCTTTGTGCTCTCTCGTTTTGCAATTCATCTACGCCTAAATATGTGTCAGGTAGAGTTTATGTAATCTACTCTCGAAGTATTTATAACCCGGTGCCGATCTCAAGTATATTAGCAAAATATTCGGTTCTCTCCGGAAGCTTGTTTAGTACGAAAGCACACATTGCCACAGCTTTAGAGTTCGTGTCGATCCACTTTTTGACAAACTTCCAATCCGAGTCCACCGGTCGGATCCCGGAGTCAGATCTCTCTCACATTACCCGCCTCTGTAGAATTCCTAAATGATTAATTAGTCTGCGCCACAGTGGACCCTCAGGTGAAAGTTTGAATGTGGACAACTTGAAATTATCATGATGATATAATACAAAAATGAAGCACTTACTAATCAGCTATTTAGTCCCACCGGCAAAGACGCGGATTCCATGCAAAGAAACTCGCCGAGAAGTCTACTTTAATTCACCCGAGCCGGAGACTTCTAAGCCTCATTTTAAATCCACCGGCTATAAAAATAGTACAGTAAGCTTCTTTGACTTACTCTTTACCAACCTCATTATGGCAAACAAGCTTGGCATATTCCCGGCCTCTGGCGGCCTTGGAGGTAGTACCCTTAGGCACCTCCTCCGGCAAGTCCCGGCCAATGAAGTGGTGCTCGTCGCTCGCAGCCCAGAGAGACTCAGCAATGAGGAAGCTGCTGGGGCTATTATTCGCAAGGCCGATTACGACATTGTCCAGACGCTCGAACACTCGTTTGACGAAATTTCGTCTTTGAACTTGATCTCCTATGCTAGCATTCAACACGAGCATCGATTCAATGTAGGGTTTACATTTTCGATACTACCTTTTGACGCTTAAATACTAATCTGATTCGATAGGCACATAAATCCGCAATTGATGCGGCTCGAAAGAGTGGTGTTAAGCATATCTTTTATTCGTCTCTTGCGTTTGCTGGTGATGGAAATCCTGATACTAAGGCCCAAGTCATGCTTGCCCACCTTGCGACGGAGAAATATTTGGCCCAGCTACATGACCAGAACCCACAGTTTACGTACACTGTCATTCGCGAAGGGTTGTACTCAGAGTCTTTCCCACTATATACTGCCTTCTTCGATCTGAAAGCTCCGTCCAACGAAATTTGTATCCCCCACGACGGCTCGGGCCCCGGCATTGCTTGGGCTAAGCAAGATGAGTTGGGGGAAGCAACCGCAAATCTTATTGCACAACACGCCCAAGACCCCGCTGCTTTTCCTTATTTAAACAAAATCGTCCTTCTATCTGGCCCTCGTGCTTTGTCTCTCAATGAAACGGCGGAGGTATTCAGCCGCGTGCTGAATAAGACAATTAAGGTCCGCCAGGTATCCGTGGACGAATACGTCAAACAGCCACAGGTCCAGTCTGGTCTCACATATGGTGGTGGAAACTGGGCGCCTCTCTGGGCGACTGCTTTTGATGGGATCCGCGATGGGGAGTGTGCAGTAGTTACCCCACATCTGGCTCAAATACTTGGCCGCGAACCCGAGCAGTTTGAAACAACTATCAAGAATATGGTTTTGACCTAAGCGAGCAAGTGTTGCGTGAAATTCAGGCCTAACGTGCTGACAAAGAATGATATGCACTTTTATGCGAGGCCTCTGAGTTTGATGTCCCAAGAGATTCTCCAGTAAGAACCAGAAATCCGCATGCAGATGTAACATATTTCCGACATATATACCTGAATTAATACGCCCATCACTACATTTCGATTCGAAAATTTGGGTGACTACGACCCTATATAGCCATAGCCCAGTAAGAAAATGATACATATAACATGGGATAGTAACTAAAGACATGAGAAAGACCTTTTTCAAGTGTGGAGCTCTCCAACTTGCGATAAGATCCCTCTTAGCTGGAGAATCTTAAGAGTATTTAGCCGTGGCTATCTTAGACCTAGAAAAAGCCCACCCATAAGGCCTTGAGGTAATACCCACCGTGGACTAGGACCTGCCTACTACCCGGTATGTTACATAATTTAGCTTAAAATGGATAGATAACTGCAAAGGGTTACTAAGCCTACCTACGTATGCTTGATTTATTGACAGAATTATATGAATATCATGGCCAAGTTTCTTGGTCTGTACTGTACCATTTCAACATTTCTAGTTCACCTCACTTCTAATCAATCATGATTTATCAGACAGCGAGCATTCCGCCGTCCACTATCAAGCTCGAACCGGTGACGAAGTTACTAGCCCCGCTGGCAAGAAAAATGACAGCTCCCCTCAGGTCTTCAGGGGTTCCCCAACGGCCAGCCGGCGTTCCCTTCAAAATGAAGTCATTGTAAACTGAGTCATTCTCCAGCTGTGTCGTCAAAGGCGTTCTAATATATCTATTCTAATTTTAGCCTTTACTTCGAAAAAGCCAACAAGAGTAATGCAAAAGAACCAAGAAAGATCTTACCCTGGGCAGATACAGTTGACTTGAATGTTGTGAGGGGCAAGCTCATTGCTGAAAGACTTCGTCATTTGAACGACTCCGCCCTTGGAGCTTGCATATGCAGAAACATTGTACATGCCCCGAAATGAAGTTACCGAGCCAATGTTGATAATTTTACCAGGAAGTTTGAGCTGAAGCAACTTCTTTGAAAATTCTTGTGCGGCTACGTATGTAGCCTTAAGATTGATGGAGAGAATCTGAAGTAATTGTCAGCGCTTTTCCATATGAGAAAAAAGAGCCCACTTATTCTTCATACAAGGTCGAGATCATCATCAGTGACTTCTGTGATTGGGCATCTTCTATTGACACCGGCACAGTTCAAAAGGATGGAAGGTGTGATTCCTGTTCGCCAAATATTTTGAAAGGTTGAACGAATTGAAGATGGATCGGTCAGATTACACTCAAAAGTCCAAAGCTTTCGACCAAGCTCTGAGATAGATCTTGAAAGACTTTCGCTGTGGACATCATTGGGAATCTGAATAGAGACAATGTCCGCACCTGCAATTGCAAGGGATTTACACAGGGTTTGGCCAATGCCACCTGTAGCTCCCGTGCAGATGACTGTCTTTCCTTGGAGCGAGAACAGTTTGTCGGTGGGCAAGTGATGCATGTTGTGGGAAAAGGACTGGGAAGATACGCTGAGGATGTAATAACAATATGGACAGGTTACAATGAATGAAGAGTAGGCGAGAAATCTTGATTGTCGTAACAGTGCTCCCTTGGCCTTATTTATTGTCGAATACAGTCCAAAGGTCTGCATTTCAACTTCGACAGGTGCGTCAAGCAAGAGAGTCCGCCGGACTCATTGCCTGGTGTGCGCTATCGCCCATCCCTAATATGGTAGCGATTGATGATGCGGAAACCTTGCTTCCCGGTGGATGTCCACCGGAAGGTTCTTTCTTACGAGGACCAATCTCCGCACAGAGGAATTCTAGCTAGAAATGCAGATCTTAACCGAAACAATTGAAGATTGAGAATCTGTTCGGACGGTACCGTGCTTATATGTCGGTTCATGCATTCCGGCCGGGGAACATTATTGGGGATCGCGGGGAGGGCGAACCTCGGAACAAGATCAAGTTTTAGCATGACACAAAGTCTCCGGTTAGTAGTGGCAAATTGCCATGCTCTGTGTCTCGTGGACTTGCGCATCAGGGGACTTATTGCCGCAGATCCTTACATTAAAATCCCCAGACCTTCCCCGCGTGTACTTTCAAACTCGCTAAGAGAATCCGGAGAAAGCTTGAATTTGGAAAACTCAATATTTGGCTTATGTTTCACATCTCGCAGTGAGCCGGTATGATCTAAGTGAGAAGTGCACGCGATGAGGCGTATAAGATCATGGACTAGGGCGTATTCCAATCTCCCTGATTATTTCAATTCCTTTCAGCAACACAATTGATTCTACCATGAAAATCACCTGGACCAATATTTTGGTAATGCGCTCCAGATTTACCCATTAATCCATCTTTGTTGGCCCTGTGCTGACCATCACCAAGATCGTCGCATTTGCGACCTAGTATATATAATTCTTTCTGCAACCATGCTGGAATTGTTACTTTTATTCCAGGAGACCATGGGACTATCACTGGATGACATTTCAGCGTGCTTCGGTGACCCAGTTAGCCCTCGTCTAATCCTAGATCCTGAGCATGTCGAAGAAAACTAGGCAAATGCTGAACAAATGAAGTCCAGTAGCACGCTACAAAGGACAATCAGAAGCAAAGAGAGTCGAGTAAAATGAATTACGTCAAGGAAATAAAGGGACTTCTGTGATTGAAATCGCAGCGTTCTCTATTGATCAAGGCATGTGACCACCTACCGAGCACTGGGACATAATACTATGAATGTTGATCACAAGCTACATTTCCATTTGAATCACCCAATCCGATGCATCCTTTCAAACAGTTCGCATTACAGTAACCTTACAATTTACGTTGTACTGATTAGACATAGCATATGCCGAAGGCAAAGGATCTGTATCTGTATAGGGCTGAAGAGCTCATTAGTACTTTTCATATCAAATGGCTTTGCCAGAAAGACAATCTCTACCTGCATATCACAAGTGGTTGGTGTGTAGGTGTGATATTGAGATTTGCAACGTACTTAGCCCTCGACAACATAATCTGAGTTATGATCAAATTACCGTATTCGGGAAGTGAGCTGGGCATGTAAACGAGTGGACACCCATACTAAATCGCCCTTTCTAGAACTGCATTATAATCACAACTTCTGAATTAGAAGATCTGTAAGTATTATATAATTGAGAGAAATATTTACAGTGTATGCTTCTCACTTCCAGGGTCATTTGAATTTTGTTCACTATGCTCGAATATAGAATATCGGAAGATAAATTCCAGCTTAATTTACACCAACCGGCCACATGGACTTTCCAACATCCTGAGAACTCATTAAGTATCATGAATAAATACTATAATGTGTTATTTGCAGTCTCAGTCTAATAAGAATCTTTGTTTTTGGGAGATTGAAGACTTAGAAAGGGCGATTTGCTATGGACTCGTTGGTGTTCAGCTCGTTTACATAATACGTTAATAAAGAAGACATTTTCAAAAAAGCCTTTTAGAGATACTCTTTCATATTGTTGCGCTAAAAGGAAGGCAGAGGAAGCAGAGGAGGGCAGCTGAGTGTATGAGAATACCAGGTTGGATGGCGCTAGGTGATTAGGTGAAGGATACAAGATGAACTTGGGATAGGACGATAGTGTGTTCTCATATAACAGAGATAGCGCTTGATGAACGGTTGTTCCTCCTGCGCGCGTCATACTAGTAGGTATCAAGTACCCCTGAGTATATCGCTCAGGGCCGTGTGTGATATACAACTAAGGCTTGGTAGATTCCTTAGGCTAGGCCTTCCAGGCAGATAATATGTTTCCCTTGACCCCGAGGTCATCTGGGTCCCAGCAAGACATTTTTAGGAGAAGGTGGAGTCTCTTGGTGACATTGTGGGCTTGAAAATTCAGTGGTTGGGAAGCAACGATGAAGCAATGAATACCTGGGGCCTGGGCTGCGGCTAAGCCTCTAAATCCTGCCAAGATGACCGGACCTCCACCGGACTCGGAATCATCAGAGTGGGACCCCGAACTTCCACCGGAGTAGAATGCCCACCAACGTGCCTCCAATTACCACACGCTTTTCAGTTCCAATATACCTTCTACCTGATTGGCGCAATGTGGCATATGGCCTGAGATAATTTGTAGAGTATATAAGGGACCATTTTGACAAATAGACAATTATCATCGTGTTCACCAATCCAATTTCAAATTGCAAGATACTTGTCTCTGCTTCGTAACCTACTTTCGGTATAAATTTCACTATGACTTCTGCCTCAGCCGACCATCGACCCAAGCCGGAGGCTATTCCCTACCAGGGGGAACCTCTACCCAACGTTCCTCAGGATCTCGTGGTTCCCAACATTGTGAATCTGGACTTTGACGAGAGACTCTGGGTTCCCCAAGGTCAGGATGTCTGGTTCCGACCCATCCTTTTCAATGTCACACAGGGCTATTTCGTCAATCTTATTCGAGTGCGTCGTTCCGGTATTTTGTCCCGCCACCGCCATTGTGGACCTGTTCACGCCACAGTTCTCCGCGGTAAGTGGCATTATCTTGAGCACGATTGGTGGGCAACTGAGGGGAGCCATGCTTTTGAGCCCCCAGGTGATATTCACACGCTCGAGGTGCCAGACGGCGTGGAAGAAATGATCACTTTGTTCCACGTTACTGGAGCGTATATCTATGTCGACCCTATGGGTGTTCCTTTGGGAGTGGAAGATGTTTTCTCAAAGCTAGCCAGCGCAAAGGCCCATTATGAGGAGGTTGGGCTCGGTGCTGATTATGTGGACCAATTCATCCGTTGAACTCATGTTTACAAGGGCACACTGCCCTCAGCATTTCGCTCTCGCCTTGACCAAATCGTCTCTTCGGCATCCATGAATACCATTGACATGTGTTGGAATGTGTTGGAATTTGTTCATTTCAGAGAATTCATTCACGTGTATTAATTTTATACCTCGAGTTTCCACGAAATATTTGGACCAGCTATCAAACACCAGCTATTTTCCTTTTTTCTCCGTTTAGCCACAAAGTGATAGGATCATAAAAGCTAATTTACTGTTCTCGCAAAAAGTCAAAGTCCGGCTGGTTCCACAGCCAACTTTGACCTAGGAAGGAGTTATTCAGTGTATTAATATCTTGGCTTGTAGGGTCAGCCACTGAAGCCAGCGAGTTCGACTGAAAGCGATTGTTTTCATCTGCGAAATCTCCCACAAATGGCCTCGGGTGTCCGCAAATATCAGCCTGCGGGCTGGAAGTTGGCGGGATATAATCTCCTGGATGTGCCATGGGATCGCAATTCTCCCATAGTACTGGAGATCAGAGCGATCAGTAAGAGAGCTAAATGCATCGGTACGCTCGTACATATAACATAGAAATTGTAGAGAAATCAACACGAAATAGGTTTTAAGAGAGAGACATACCTTGCTGCACCGACTCTAGTGCATGGTCAATCCCCGAATAAAAGGACAAAACGGGAACATCTTGAGCAAGATCACGGTTAATCGCTGCGTGATCGTTAAGTGGAAGTTGGGATCTATGTTCGGGTTCAATGACGCTTGATGGCGGCTCTGAATCCTCCTGGCCTCCACGCGAGGGTATTTGATTGAATCGACGAACCATAGGAAACTGCATACTGCCAGGCGGCTGAGGATCCTCAGGCTCACATGATTGGTTTGGCGGTCCGCCCATCGGACTGGGACTGTCCAATTCTAGAGACGGATTCCCTAGCAGTGACTGCATTTCCTGTTTGAAGATTAGCTGGAACAGCCCTTCAAGGACCCTGACCGTCTGTGATGGAACTATGGATGATGCAGCGAGTGTTTTTTGTAACACAATTGAATTCGCGACACCTCTTTTGGCACCGCAAGATTGTTCTGAGCCAGGGTCAGACAGCGCCACCATTGCCAAAGTGACACCCGCAGTAAAATTTTGTATAGCAATGTATGCTGCTGCATGAGTTGTTTGGGCTACATAGAGAAGTTTGGCATATCGTGGCAGTATGCTGCAGGTGCGGCGAGCACAGTGCTTGCATTGTTCAAAACTTGTTCGGCGCGCGTCGGACTCGCTCAAGCCGGAAAAAGCAGGTAAGCGGCGAGTACATCGAATAAAAGGGCGATGTAGAATTATTTGGATGTTATCATAGGCCAACTGAAGGGCCAGCGCCTGCAGTTGAAATAGCTGGCATACGTCAGCCTCGGCGCTTGTCAAACTTCCCAAGTCTAAGTCGACATTGTGCTCCAGCCTTAACTCCACAGGTAGTTGGTCAAACCACTCCACCAGCTTGGAGTTGATTTCTGCGGCTTGGTTCATTGCAACCTCCGAACTAGAGACATGCACATTATGAATATTGCCAATGACGGGGGTTGCAATAGAGTATAGATCGAATTTATGCCGTTGGTATGAACCCAGTGTGACCGGCGCTGGAGAATGGCTCGCAGGGCTCTCAATTGAATTCAGCAATGGATGCACGTTTGAGATGTCATCCATATCTCGTGGCATGCTTACAGCGCAAAAAACGTCATTGATCGAGGATGGCCGAC